CATACAACAATTTCTGCTGATCATCACACTCCATGACAGTAAAAATGCGATCCAATTCTTCTAACCACTGAATTGCAGCAATAGGATCAATGCCTCCTTTATAATTTGGTGGTGCATGTTTTCGGAAGGCATTTAGCATTCTTTCTCTTTGCTCTCTATTAGTGGCTGGCTGTGCCACACCACCCCTGTGACTAGATTCTTCATTCACATCATTATTTCCTTCACCCTCCACAACAATGGGATTATGAGGAGGAGGAACAGGCTGTTGTGGTTGTGGCTCAGGCTGTGGCTGTTGCAAAGGCTGTGGCTGTGGACCTTGCCCACCCGCCCTCACCTCAACCAAGAGTAATCTCATCATTTCAATATTCGCCATTCTGCTTGCTGCCATCATTTCTTGATTGGCCAACCTATTAGCCTCTAACAGATCTTGATTTGCTTTCATCATCACTTCTAGCTCTCGCTGCCTAGCTGCAGCCATATTTTGTTGCATCTCAGTTAAGGCCATTATCATTGGATCTGGCTGTGAAGTATTTCCCCGCGGGTTAAGTCGGGGTCTTGCCAAATCTGCCAATATTGGATCGGTCGGGTCAATAGGAGGATCAGAAGTCCTTCTTGGGCGAACCATAATTCTGCATATTTCACACAAAGGAATGAGTTAGCTACGCTCACACTCGGTGATCAGACATGCATATCATAGTATTCCAAGAAAAACTCAAGAATATAACAACCCGAACAGTTCATGCAATATTTCACAGGCTCTTCTAGAGAAACTGCTCTGATACCATAAATGTAACATCCCCGTCTCGAGCCGGTTCAATTAACATACATATGATATAAACAGAAACAGCGGAAGACTTAACTTACAAAAATATGAGCTAACTTTTTCTTTTTCTAACTTAATTCTTACTCGGCGTAAACGAAAATCGGGCAGAGTTTCCTCTATAAATCGGACAACTGGGGATTTTCCAATCCCACTCAGAAGCATTTCCTGATAAACAGTTTATACAACATATCAATTCAGAAATACCAGATATCCAAATATAATCAAATACCCATACATGGGCGCATGCATAACATGGCTCCGTGCCACTAAATCTAACAGCATGCCATCAAAACATAAACCTATCTGAATACTACATCATCATATAACGTTCCTGAATACTCAAATGTACATGCATCAAACTGATAGACATGTACAAAACATATACAGGCCATATACAAAATAAAGGATCAATATCATGATCCATCAAATGCGAAAATACTAAAATACATCAAACACTCCAAAAAGGTAGTAGCCTACAGCCACTCAAAATCCGGTCTGTCAACTGCCTCAGCCACGTGTCGTGTCCCTGCCTAGTGAGGACTCACCGGAAATCTGGGCCCCTGAAAATGTGTCCCCAAAGAGGGGTGAGATTACAAATCTCAATAAGCTCCAGGTTTATAGAGAATTCTCCATACCCCTGGCTCACTCCTGCATGAAATTCAGATACAGAGTATACAAATACAACATATAACAGATATCATAACAGAACAGAGCATATATCCATATCATATCAGAGATGTGCGCCGTCATTCCCAAGGGAGGACCCCAAGCGGAAATCAACGCACGTGTTCCCGAGGGAGGACCCCAAAGCGGAACCAGACATATCAGAGGAGTACACCATCAGTCCCGAGGGAGGACCCCAAAGCGGACGTCCGGGTACTATACAATCAATGGCCAGAGATTGTTACAGAAATCATATTACAGAAGTCATATCAGAGCAAAACATATCATGTTATCAAATAACTCTATATGAATGCATCTATACAAAGCATCTAAATCACAGTCATACAGTCCAACCATAGTTCACTAACCATGGTGGAGCACTCAAGCAGGAAAAGACTCCTTAAACATAGAGCTTACCTCTTGAAGCTTTACCAATACGCTTACTTGTGGACCAAGTTACTTTTATCGCTTCAAGAGATTTCCGATCCTTCTCAATCCCTAGGCACACCTAGAGAATAATTTACAATGCATCAATAAGATGATACTATGCCATGATTATTTCATAAGCATACATTTTATCGCTTATTTTCCTTTCTTTATACTTTTGCCAATGTTATGCCAATACACAAGTCTAGACCACCTTATACTCGTTAGCATTCTTTAATTTTAATCAAGTATTCACTTGAGAATTTTCAATATCATTCATGCCATTTTACTTCATCAATACCCTTAGGAAATCAAGGTATTTTTCAACCATTTTTCGAGTCATTTCACTTCTTAACTCATCAATTTTATACAATGAATTAGAACACATTTTATTTACAATAAAATGTAACAAAATATACTCCTATACCACCCTCTAGGTCGAACACTACAAGGACATAGACAAAGGTTCTTTTTCTTCACTTACACGTAACTTACACATACAAATACATGTTTTCATAAGGTTCCAACTTAATTTTTGGAGCATAAAGTCCCTCCAAAGCCCCACAAGGCCTAAACCTAAGGGCATATTTCATATAATTTTTCCCACTTTGGCATTCTCACTAATTTATCAAATTTCCACTTAATTCCTACACCTTAAACCTTCCTAATACTTAAGATAAAATTTTGCACAACAACCTACTCTTCATCTATGATGGCCGAACATGTAGAGGAAATCATAGGATTTTTTTCTAATTTTTTTACATACATACAAATGCTTATTTTCATTTTATACATCAAAATATCAATTATTCCTCATCAATACATATTTTAACACATCATGCTTTTCCACCCAAGGCATATACACAATTTTATAACTTAAATAATCAAAACAACATCATGGAAATAGAGGTTTGTTACCTCAAATCAACTACCCAAAGCCTAGAAGACCTACACCAAGAGAATCTCCATCAAAAACTTCATTTTGCCCTCTTGATGAATAGTACACGAATTTGGGGAAGGAAATATCTCCTCACACAACCAATGATAGCTCAAATAAATGGGTGGGATGGACTCATTGGGTGGTTTCCCATCGATTTCAAGTAGTGGGACTTGTGATTTGGTTAACTTTGGAGTGAGAATCAAAGAAATGAAGAACCAAACCCTACCCCCCCCTTTCACCAAGTGCAGCTCGGCTTCTTTGAGGAAGAGAGGAGAGAGAGCTGATTTTGAATAGTGCTCATTTGAGTCACTTAAGCTTTTAAGCACATGTGGCCCTTTTACCCGGTTGTTTTTCTATCGCGTATTTTTACTTAATTGACCCGGAACTTAACTTAAAGCTACAGATATATTTTTATTTTTCTAAAGTCATTTAAATTAATTTTTATTTCCTAAGTAACAATATTCATAATTCACAGTATGGTTTTTGCACCGTTTTTGACGAAATGCACTGTGCATCACTAATTGTACTTCCTTTACTTACGAAACTTAAAACTTATAAACTTATCATTTTCTTGGGCCTATATTGACTTGCTTGGCATATATTGGACTTTCTTATTCTTATTTCATCAATTATTTATTTCTGGACTCTACCGGTTGCTTAAACAGCAGTACAAAATACCCGGTAGAAACACTATTCACGAGATTTTCACGGAAAGTGCCAGACTATACAATTTTTCGTTCTGAACTCATATTTGTCATCAGAATTTTCAAATTATGTTCCTAAAATTATTTTGCTCATTTTAAGCTCTACCGGTTAATTCACAAAACTGTAAATTCTCCGGCAGAACGCACTGTTCATAACATAGTCATGATTACAGTCAAAATACTCGAAATCGCTCACTGAATCTAATTATGGCATTTAAATCCTTAAATTAAATCTCTAACTAAGATTTACCAGTTAGGGTCATTATAATAGCCTTATCCAAGACCACAGAATTCAAAATCGGTCATTATCAGGGCTTTCCAAACCTCTAAGATGAAGGTAAGACTTCTTGCATTGTTCCTACTCATTTCAGGTACTCAAGCCATATCAATGATGCTTCCAAAATTTGGAAGCATAGAAGACTCAATCAGATTGAAAGACAAAGTGGAGGAAAGTAAAAATGAGAACAAACATGAACTGTTTAATACTACAAGAAAAGCACAAGGTGGAAGCAAAGGAGCCTCTGGAAAGAGAGGAAGGACAGGAGTTAATGGCAGTGCAGATGTTAATCGCCAGCCACGTCGCCCTCAAAATTCCGCACCATCATTACTATCAGGGCCTCATTTTCGGGCCTCAACATTTATATATGTAAGCTTGGCTTTAACCATCGGGTTTCCCTTCAACTATGTTTGATGTAATTCATGCAGAAAAAATTGTTACCATATGTTGTCCTTGTTTAATGCCCCAATTAATGGTGACTTCTTTTTTCTAATATATATTTTGAGCGCCACCTAGACCATCTTTGGTTGTTGATTAGTTTGTGTTTGCCCTTCTGAATACCCATAATGCCATCCATAATATCATTTGAAAAATGTTATATGAATAGATGTTTGAATCTTTGCCTGTTACTGAGGGAAATAACTGAAACTTTGTCTTTATAATTTAATATGCAATTACCTCACAGAGGAAGAAAAACAGTCAAGGGCAAGTTGATGCTAATATGAAAAGGTTGAACTTGTGGGGTTGAAATTCTAGAGGGAACCTCTAGAAGCAGAAACGGGCTAATTTTACTTTATTATGGAAAGATAGACTATTAGTGAATTCATCAATAGTAAATCATTTTATTAATGGATTCCAGAAGCTGAATTTGAAAAACCAAATTGATAAGTCAATAAAATATTTATTAAACCAAAAACAAAAAATGCTTTGTTTATCATAATTTTAATTTGGAAATCCTTTCAACATTCTGTTCCTGAACCAAACAGATAATATTCTGTTCAAATGAAAAACACAATATCAAGTGTCAACTTGATCAGTAAGTATGCTTAGAGACGTTACTTTATTCTATATTCTTGCAACCACTAGATGCATTTGAGTCACTTTTAACTTTTAAGTGCCTTCCAACCATTGCCATAAGATTACAGTTACACGTTACCTTTGAAATTGGAAAAGGGGTGAGTAAAAAAATAAAACAAGAGATTGCAAGTTTAAAAGTTTGCAAGTTCTCTGTGAACAGGACAAGCATCTAATGCAGAGCAAGGAAGAATCTCCAAACGCCGTACTCAGCTTCTCTTCTACGCAATCTTATGTCTACATTCCCGAATCAGAAATTGATCCTCCACTGTCCAGACACATTGCTTTCTTCTCATATGTCTCTGTCTCTCTTTTTTAAAATGAAAACAAAGCCTATATAAACTCTCTCCTCCTTAAACCCACTTCAACTCTAAACTACAGAATCCAAAAACCATCATTTAAAACAAATAGAGACTATTATAAAATTCTGTACAAAGAACCTTCCACCCTCCCTAGACAGTAGACCCTAGCCTTAACGATGAGGGTAACATTTCTTATATTATTCATGCTTGTTTCATGCACACAAGCCATATCAAACTCAGGTTTGCATAGAAATTTCAGTTCAGAACAGAGAGGTCTAAACTCCTCAAAGAGCAATATGCAAACACAGCAACCTTTTGGTAGGATTTCGTTATTCTTTTAAAGAAGCACATAAATTTTTTTCTGAAATTGTGGATATGTCACATTTTTGCTCTTACTAAATTGCTTGTTTTGTTCAGCTGTAGAAAACTATAGAAACATAAAGGGACAGCTAGGTTGACGTTAAGGTGCCCTGTATATTATATAGTCTTTAGTATCATATGTTGTTTCTGTTTAACCCTTTGGCTCCTTTATGAGAGCATCATTGTACATCAACTATGATTGTTGTCCTGTCAAATTCTCAGCACTTTCATTTAAAGTCGTACATGAACGGATGCTTAAAGTTGTGCCTATCAAAGGTTTCCAATTCCACCAGCCAATTAGAGAGGAAAATCATTGATATTAATATTATACATTCTTGATTGGTGAGCTTCAAAATTTCCTCCAATTTTTACTCCAGATAGAATTGTATCACAATCCCTGGGTGACAAAATGCAATGTCGACGTGTACAGATAAACTACACTTCTCAATTTCGGCATAGTATTAGGGACATAACATAAGCTTGCGCTGACAATTCTAAAACAAGTCTTATGCAAAATGTAATATCAAATTAATTGTTTCTAAAGTTCATTTATGTTTACAGATTATAACACTTGGCCAAGGAACAGAGTCTATTGTAAACTGAAATGAGTCCCTTTAACATTTGCATACCATTCATCAAAAGTATCTGAAGTAAACAAAAACTAGGAAAGAAAACGCCACCTTAGGAAACATTTTGGCGTTCCAAATGGCAGCCAGCCATGATTTAAAACCGGCAAGCATCTCGGTCATCTTCGTTCCTCAAATGTCATAGAAAAATTCCTTAAACACTTTCATATGCTCAGGCTGGAGAGCTATTGCCACAGACATGCTCCCATCATTTGTTGAGCTTGGAATTATGAAAGATAGCCCCTCGTATGCAATCCCACCAGGTCCCATGAATATAGGCCTTCCCCAACCAAAATCAGCATCATGGATTGGAAGCCTAGTCCAACTAGTGATACCAAGATTTGGACACTTGAAAGTATGTGCTCCACGAACCAGTGCTTTTAGATCAGGTTGTAGCTCTAGATAATCAAGAGCCGATCTCAAATATTCGTTATCCATTCTTAACAAGGCATTGTGGATTCTGCTTGCTGCATACCATGTTGGTTTTGACATGAGATCACCTGCTATAGCTGTAGGTGTGGTCGTGAAGATCACATTGCCAAAGTAACCTGGTGGGAGGGGAGGCTGCAACCTTGACCTTCCATCAGTTGCAATGTACAATTTGGTCTCTTGATCATTTGGAAGTGCTCTTGCCCTGCATACACTTTTCCACACGTGACCAGCCAACATCTCGTAAGTGCTGTAGCTGATTGTGTTGCCATCTTCTTTGGACTTAGCTTTCAGTATGCTGAGTTGGTCACGAGTCAGTTTGAAAATTGAGACCGCTGCATAATCTGAACCTGGTTTTGTTGGTTGTTGGTGAGTCTTCATGACTGGTGGGGGCTTGTATTCTATGTGATCAAAAACAGGTCTAGGTGGATCTCTGGCACGGAGTAGTGTCCGGTCAATGAATGGTGGTATACAAACATCCAAGCCACGAGCCACATCTGACCATGTATTAATAAAGTGAAGACCAGAAGCTCCATCTGCTACATGATGTTGCATTCCAACACCCAGTGAGACCCCTCCACATTTGAAATATGTTACCTGCAAATAGTTTAGTCCAGAAAATTGGTAAAGTTAGAAGGAAATATAGCATTTTTCTTCACTTCAAACCACTGCTATATACTCTCCTCACAACCAACATTTTGGGGGGGAAAAATTGTACACAAAACAAGATGCCAATAACCCACCCCTTTTTATTATTCTACATGTAGTGATGTATTGGAAAATTTTGTGCTCTTGCATACCTCGAAGACTTATTGCATCTATCACTGAAATTAAAAAAATATGACTCACGAACTATATTTACTTTACTAGCTTCTTTACTATTAGTTAAGTCCCATATATTTCTATTTTTAGTATAAGAATATCTATTAAAAGATTACTGAAGATTGTGTTTGGTGTATAGATCCTTATCATTAAATGCTTCAATGGAACTTGAAGTTTACATCACCAGTTAGGCACTCTCGATGAATAGCATGCTTTTTATGTTTTCCATGAAATGCCAAACTGGGCTAAAAAGAGGAAACGCATAATTAATATTGAATGCGTGATCCGTTTCACATCATGATGACTTGAGAGAATGGTTGAATATTCAGTCACGTCTTTGACTTCTTTTCTTTCTGATAAAGACACAGCAACGCCTCCAGCAATAAAGACAAAAGTTTGAGTCGACTAATTGGCCAAATAGGTATATTATTAGGGTTTTATAATTCTCAAACAGTTAGATTGAAAATTAAAATTTTATCTAATTGAGATAAAAAACATGTGAGACTTATATGTTAAAAAAAGTTATGTATAAGACTTAGCATGAAAATCAAAGAATATATAAGAAGATTTTAAATTTCGTTTGGTTACGAGTTCGACGCTCTAACCAAACACACTTTTTTTACTTCTCTTTTTTCTTTTCTTTATAAATAAAATAAAAGGAAAAATATTTTTCATGCAAAACAATAACATCATTTTGTGATTTGAAAAAAATTACAGCATAAATTAGTCCGATTTAAGATGATCCAGAGATTAAGACTTTAACTCCTCTCAAAAATTATATTAAGAGAATCAAACATATGCTTTTAAATCTCACTCCACTTGCTTAGTTACTTGGCACTAACTGAGCTTAGCCTCCTTTGTTAATTTTACTTTTTTTTTCATACTGTGTAATTTTACTAAAATATGTCGTATTTTTTTTTTCTAAACCTTTATAATGAAATTATTTTGGGATTATAAGCGATAATTTTATTTTATATTATAGGATAAATGTTAATTCCTAAAATAAAATACTAAAATTAATGTAAACTATTCTTTGGAATAAATTATTTCATTTAAAAAAAATAATCAAATATTTTCTCCAAAAGCAATAGCTACAAATATATGGTATAAGTTAGTTTAATTTTTTCAATTGGAAAAAAAAAAAGTAACAATTAACAAACAAGTGACTAGTGAAAAAAAAAAAAAAAAGGAGTGAGTGAAAGGAAAATTGAGACGCACCTGCAACACTAACAGGGGATAGGTTTCGATTCCGCGTGAATAATCAACGGCGGGGATAAGCTGACGGAGCTCAAGGGTTGGTGCGAAGTCGCCAAAATCGTCGATGACGGCGCCGGTGTCAGCCTCCACGAAGAGCACCCCTTGGCCGTCGCAGTCAATCTCGACGCGGCCGTCTTCGTCGCGGCGGAGACGGCCGGCCATTGGGTAGAAAGGGACGAGTACCTTGCTGAGAGCCTCCTTGAGAACCTTGGCATCGAAGAAGTTGGAGGCTCCGTTGGGCCTATAGAAGTACACGCTCGGCGTGTGGAAATTGGGAACCACCAGGTCCACATTCGAGTTCCACAACGCCCTACGCGCCACCGTCTCCGCCGGCCGTACCATCGTCGACTCTTTCACGTTAATAATCATCTCGCTGGTAGAGTGGTCCCACTATCAACCATAATAATAATAAGATATCATCATTTCATTAATTTTCTCACCATAAAACAAGATATTCATACATGAATTGAATTTTAGTGTAATTAAGTCAAAAAAAATGATTAAAAACCTTAATAATATACCATGGTTTCATTTTCTCACCACAAGACAAGATATTCATACATGAATGGAATTTTAGTATAATTAAGTCAAAGATTGATACATGGAGCGGAAAAACATATATTTGAAAAAAAAATGATTAAAAAGCTTATTATAAAGTTTTCATGTGCAATTGTGCATGATGAATGTTGGAACATGAATTGAAATGAGTTGAGGAAAGAGGTTGAGAATGAGAAACAAACATTACCTGATGGAAGAGAAGAGAAGAGAAGAGAGGAGAGTAGAAGAGGAAAAGAGAACAACTTAGGAGATGATGTGTGTGTTTTTTTTTTTTTTGTGTGTGTTGAGGTGGGTTGGGATTTGGTGTGTGTGACACAGGGGATGAGAACTTAACGATTGTGAGAGAGTGGGGTGGTGCGGTGCTTCGTAGGACTCCTACTTTTTAAGCAAAGTAAGAAGGGGATGGGTTGTGTTGGGTTGGGTCACTCACCAACCCCGCCAACTACGTTCACCAATCGTGAGCCGCCACCTCAGGCGAGGTCATTGACCGTTCCTTCTACAACTACACATGTCTAAAGGTTAGACAAGGTGATCATCGAAAGTGGACAGGAAAAGGACACTGACCTTTTTTTTTGAATTGGGACACTGACCTTTTTCATGCGTAAGTTGGTAAGATGGGACGTGCCTTTTCAATTTAGGCAATCATCATAAATTTTTATCACATAGATATACAAGTGTTTATGATCGGAATATTGGATCAAATGAATTATTGATTCCATTAATGGATTTGTGTTTTCTAAAGTTACTTTAATAATTTTATCTAATGTTTATCAAAATGACGTTGTTTTGGAGCAGAAATTATGATATTTTTGTAATTTTAATTTATTTTAGGATTATAATAGTCTTTATCATTCTAATTTTTTAATTTTTCAACCTCAAAACGACATCGTTTTGATGAACATTAGATAAAATTATCTAAAATAACATTAGATACTTTTTCTCTCTGTTAATATATTATTGGTTTAATTATTTGAATTAAATATATATAATAAAATATAAATTTTTAATTATAGCTAATAAATAAGTCGGTTTAGTGATAAGTTTTGTAAAATATAACCCACATCTCGATTAAAATCTTATTGGTGGTTTTTTCAAGTATTTTGTGCAAAATTTCACAAAGTATTTTTTTTAAAAAAAATTAATGTTAGTTTAACACCAGTTGAACCAAATTTAGGATCGATTCACTGATCTTATATCAAATCTAATGCATGAATTAGGGTCCAGTGTATGGGTCAATTGATCGAACCAACCGGGTCGCGTCAGTTTTATAAGTCTTTTCGATTTTATAGCAATGCGTACAAGAATGTAAAGTAAACACAATTTAAGGAATCTACTTGATAGAAAAATTAAAATATTATTATTTTAATAACAAATTACGAACATATAACAATTTAGAACTAATTGATAGATCTATTATACTTAGTCATGCCGAGATTAGACGCAATAAAATACATGGTCGCGTTCAATTTAGGTGGAACTCACTCGGTGCTGACTCGTGCCATAAAAAAAGTCAATAATTTGAGTGTAAAAATTCCGAAGACTATATTTTTTTACTGTATATTAATTTTTATTTTCTGTAAGATTCTAAAATACTTAAAGAAATTAAAAAAAATACTTAAAGTGAACTATAATCGTGCAAAGGTAAATTAACGATTATGATTTTGTAATTATCAGTTTTAATATTTTCTCTCTCTTTTTCTTTATCACAATTGATCTACATTTATATAGTTATGATTTTTCCTATAATCATATTATTATTTTATAACATGAAAAAATCAAGATCCAAAAACATATATGTATAATAAATTTTTTTCCTGAGATTCCAATATCTAGAAGTTCGTTTAGATGTCACTTGATTTGACGAGACCTTACTTAGAAAAATTAACAAATGACTGTTACATAATGATCACGCTAGAAGTATTTAAAAATTATGGTTGTAAATTTCTTGTCACAGAGAAACTTATAATCTTTCTACAAAAACAAAAACATATGGGATCCACGAAATTAGAAAGAAAAAACAGCAATCGGCGGGATTTTTTATGAGCGTGAGAAGAGATATTATTTTTCTGCAACAAGAGAAAGACATATTCCTAAAAATAATTGTATTTTTTATTGAATGAATAAAATTATAATTAAAGAACAAGAAATATTTATAGCTTTTCATTTTTTTTGGTTTTTTAAAATCATTAAATGATTGTCAAGATAAAGTTATAATTTGTTTAAGAAAATTATTTAAAAGCCTTTAATATTAATTTTATAAAAAAGGGAGTATCAAAATTAGGAATCCCTTTATAATATGAATATAATTTATTATAAAATAAAAAGCAAACATCATTTATTATCATTCAATTTATAGTCACATCCCATTTAATAAAATTTAACATTAAATAATGGGTCAGGATCATTTTACACCAGTGTAAGTTACACTCTCAATCTTGTCCACTAATTCCACTTATATCTAAGGGCTCAAATTTTTTAGTAATGTGAGTCATTGGATATAAGTAGATCAATGGTCAAGATTGAATGTAAAGACTTCTAACTTTTACACCTGTTCTGGACGAACATTAACCTGGATTCTGTGTAGTTAATGTCTGCCTGGTTATCTTAATCTTTAGAGTATATATAGGTGTAGCCTTGGAACGGTTACCTGTGTCGTGGGAGTGGTGGATACCATCATGACATCGTGATAGGCCCACTTAAGACTTCCTTACTGAAAATGCTGGCTGACTCAACTGACTGCTACTCCACTACGCGCAGCAGTTAGTGACATGCCTACTCGCCTATTCCTAGTTCCGAGTACCTCACTTGTACGAGCAAGTACAGCTCGCTGTGTTAACCCAAAACAACACCCATATAAGAATATCCTGCCCCCCCATGAATAATACGTGAGAAGTTGCACTCACGAATAATGTGATTCCTGATAGTAAGGATATATCCAAATTAAGTTATTATAATAATAGATTAGTAAGACGAATTCTCTTCTTTCTAGGTTGTTCTTTATGATTGGTGGGTGCTATTCACCACCAACTCTTATCCTCCGCAACCCAAACCATTGGGTCGGGTCTGGTGGGTCCAGAGCAAGCTGTGGTGAGGGTGAAGTGTGGACGAGGGGGTGAAACCTTGGCATTGGAGGGAAATGTCAATGGTGATTGTGCGTGAAAGTAATTGCACGTGAGTTGACATAGACCCACTGGGACTATGCGTTGAGTTCCGACGTAAAGTAGTCGCAACGTATGACGCATAAGAAATTAAGAATCATTGCGATGACTCCATCTTAATTAAGTAGGAAAGAAATGCTTGTCCATTTTATCAATTGAATTTTTATTTAATTTTATTACATCTTAAAGGTCATGAAATAAATGGACGATACAATTTGGGCTTCTTGAATAGTTTTATGAAAATGTCATTCATTCCTGTAAACTAATAATGTTCGCCCTCTCTAATTTATGACTTTTTATTTTAATGATAAAATTTATATTGCATAGACAACATATATACACAATGCATCCGAAAAAGATATATAACAGATGCACACACAATCAATTTTAACGTTGAAATAGATTCTTATTTATTTATTTAGATCTTCTGTAACAACTAAAAAACTTGATTAATTTATACCAAAAAAAAACAAACTTGATTAACTGAAATATTTTGTTTATAATCGAGTGATTCTGTAGCGCTGAATTTGAGTCAAACTTTGATTCCTTGTGCAATTCAGCAATTACAAGAATGTACACTTTCATTGGATATATTTCAAAGTTCAAGCACAAATACACCAGCATAAATGCGGTTGTGGGTTGCTAGAGGTCACGGCGGTGCTTCAGGCCAGGGTCAGAGCTTGAGAGGAGAGAGCTGAGTGTCCAATTTTTGTTTTAATAATATCTATAAAAGGGAAAAGTGTTTCTCCTCTTAAATAACACAACTTATGTCATTTCACTCTCACAAAAAAATGAAACTCGTACCTTTATTTTTTTTTGTTCACTCTCTCTCTTATGATTTATTTTTTTCTTTCACTTAAAATAACATAATTTTACATCATTCAAAATGACACACATTTTCCCTAATAATAATATAAAAGGGTACGTTAACCCAGCTTGGATGTAAGTAATTTGCAAGTTATGTAATGAAATAAGTTATATGATCAATTCAGAGTTTTGGTCAGTAGACGTTAGAGTAACTCACACGTCAGAATTCACTTTCAAAGCTCTATTTTTAAAGTTCAAATTCGTTCAATATTTGTCTCCGTGTACTGTTTGAACATCTATCTTTCAAGAATACTCGTCTCTAACCACTCACGGAAATTAACATTAGAATATGCTTGGTTTGTCTGTATTAACCCCTTCTAGATTTTCGGTTGACCAAATACAATTCTCTAAACTTTTAACCGTTCTTCTCGAAAGCTTATTCGGAGTAAAAATCAAACGAAAATCCTTTGTGGAATGGGAGGACCCTACGTTGAAAGTGGAATATATATTACGCTCAGACAAGCGATTTTAAAAAAAAATTGCATGTCGGACAGTGAAACTCTGACATGTGATTAATATTTTGAGATACGTGATTAACTCTGACACTCTCTGACATATTTTTCTGACACGCAGTCAACTTTTTTCAACACACGGTCAACCCGCTCCGACACGCATCTGACACGTTTTTTTTAGTCTTAATTTTATTTTATTAACTAAATATAAAAATAATAATTTACAAATCAATTTTTTTCTGTTATGAAATTTGACATAAAAAATTAACAAAGTACGCAAAATAATTTTTGTTTATATTTATGTTAAGAAATTTGAATATTTGATTAGTTATATGACTTATTATCGACTGTTATATGTATTAAATATAAATTATATTATAATATTAAAATTTTTATTTAATATCAAAACATGTCCAATGTGTCAAAATATAACTTTTTTTAGAATTAACGTGTCGGCGTGTCGTGTCCCGTGTCGGTGCATCATAGATATTACGAACAAAAACGTTGAAAAGAATATTTTGAAGAACATTTTTTCGCAGGATAAAGATTTTTTTATAGGAAAAAGTGTTTGTCATTTTAAGAGAAAGATAGACACAAAATAATATTTTTTATTCAAAATTTAAATTTAAAAAAATCACCCACTTTTTCTCCCATGATTTTTATTCCTTGTGTCTATCTCTCTCCTAAAATGACATAACTTATGTCATTTAAAATGACATAACTTATGTCATTTTAAATGACAAACATCAAACCCCTTTTCTATATGCCTATAAGAAAAATGCAAATAATTTAAATTATTGAAAAGTTTGATAAGATGGGTATAGTTTTTGATCTATCAAAACGTTGATATTGGAATCTTAAGAGCCTGTTTGGTATGGAGTAATTTCTTATATGTCTTGGAAAGTGAAAGTGGGAATGATTTGTTTTCACGTTTGGTAGAAAAAAAACGTAAAATTTTTCTGGGTATCGTTTATTCCCTGACAACCATTTAACACTAGCGATTGTGGATTATAATTCCCATTTAGAAGGTGGGTATTGTGTGTTCCCATGATTTGGTTTCTACGCGTTGTATTTGGCAGACTAAATTACCCTCCAATGATTCAAGATATGGTTCATCACAGGAACACAGCCTGCACAATGATTCAAGATAAAAATGAAACATTACGATTTGAAAATAAAGTCTTTAGTTTACCCAAAAAAAAAAAAACCACAAATTGCATGAACTCCTATGGATGATAAGTGGGGAGGAGGGTAACTTCTGATATAATTCATCACAAGAACACAACCTGAACAACTATTGAAGATAAAAGATAAAAATCAAACTACTGTAGTGAACGTACTAAATAAGCTGTGAACAGAGACAATATTATACAAGCAACATATGCTTGTCCCTACTTGACATTTAACTAAGACGGATGCAGAGGGAGGAATTTGCGTTTGCGTTTTGAAAATGCTTTATTTTTAGTTAATCATTTTTTTTATAAGTTATTCTTCACGAGGGTACTTTTGTCAAATTTTATCATATTCCTATCAATATTTTGTTTTCAACCAAACACTCATTCACAAAAATTAACCAATATTTCCGGTAATATTTTGTCTTACCAGACATCTTTTTCGTCAAATTCCCAGACAATTTTTGTTCCAGCTATATACCCAATAATCGTGATTCCAAGATACAAAAAAATTTCTCCAGTACTAAACGCTCCCTGGATTTTTAAGGGAAATGAAGGATCTTCTAAGATGCTCTTAAATATTTTAATAATTTATGATTTATCAATTAAACAATCGTGAAGAAGTTTGAGATTACACTTAAAAAAAAAATCAAATACATCTGTATAAAAAAATGAATTAAATGAAATGTGATAAATGTAATTGTTTTCCTTTTTGTCTTAATTTAATTGTTTTATTTACTAATCAGGTATATTTTGTTAATACATTTTGAATTGTGATCCGTTTAAGAAGCCCAAGTAAGTTTTGGACTAGCTGTAGACCCATGAGAAAGTCTAGAGCGGAATTGGGGTTTTGAGCTTTGTACTGTTAGGTGTTTGGTACAGGAGAAATTTTTATTTGTCCGCGAATCTCGATTTTTAAAAATATGATTTTTACATTCAGTTTACAATAATATCTGAAAATTTAAAATTTTAAAAATTTCAGTTTCCCAAAAATTCGGAAAAATCCATGTACCAAATATGATTTTTAATGCTTTTGGTATGTTTGAAAATCAATACTAAGAGAGAAAAAAAAAAGGAAGTGAAATGTTTTGTTTATGCATTTTTTTATATGTGAATTTTAAAAATAAAAGAAGGAAATAGGGAATTTTTGTAAAATCGTCCAATACATTTCTCACCCTTAAAATCAACATTCTCCCAATTTGGGGGGTCTGATATGGAAAATACAATAAATTACTTATATGCCCTTACTCTATTTCTCATTTTTTTTTATTTTCTCTTTTTCTTAAAATTATTTGAATTTATTTGATGAAACTATTTATTTTTTGTTTCCAATTGTATTATTTTGAGATAGGTGATTTAATTTTATATATAAGATTTATAATTTTTTTAATTTTAATTTAGTTATAATGTGAAATAGATAATTTTATAGAGAGAAAAATAATTTTTAGAGAGAGAAAATAATTTTTTCGAGGGAGAATCATATTTTAAATGTGAAAATTACATAAATAATTTTTTTAGAAATTTTAAATTTAATTTCATTTGTAAAATATAATAATTATATTAGTTTTATAAGAAAGGGTAAAATGGTAAAAACATATCATTAACTCTCTATTTTATCCTTATCATATTTTTAACTCTCAAACAAAGGGAAGGTAATACATTTCATTTTTCCTCCCTTCCTTCCCTCCCCGTGCAAACTCCCAAACACACCCATTATCATAAATGGGTCGACATATGTTATTGTAGACTACATTGTGAGCATTGTAAGAAATGAAGAAGCTTAACTCATTTTGAGCATTACACGAGCTGATAAAATAGGTCTAACTCGTTAGGTTGGTATGTTTAACTCATTACAAATCTCTAGTTGAATTATGATTTTCAATCCGTTAACTCATTTCAACCCGACGCGCATAAGAGCGGGCTAAAATTGGTTCAAACCACAGCAAGGCGAGTTAATTCGATGGATTTTTTTAAACTATCAAGTAGTATTTTATTTATTATGTCAAGCTTTTGTGATATCCAAATATTTTATTTTAATACTCCTCTACAAAAATAAAGAAGAAAATACTTTATTTATGAAAAAGGTTACTCGTATACGGAGGCAAAATTGAGTTCCTAGATGGAAGAAGAGTGATTTAGGGCGAATATTTTTGGAAGAAGTTGCATAGAACACTGGAAAGAATGGAAATATGTGTTTTATGATACGTGTTGGCTCCCATGGATGTGGAGAGATGCTGAAGTCCATAACAAACACTTTAGGAGACTAGAAAGGTCGCAAGACTGTGTGTCCTTGATCTTGTTTTAAACATCGACAAGGTTGTCCATGAGTTAGGGATATCATGTGACGTCTTTGAGCAGTACTTGAAAGGCTCCTCCTAATGGGTGGTTTAAGGTGAATGTAGATAGAGCTGTTGCACAAAGCAATTCTAAAGGAGTTTGTGGTGGTTTGATATGTAACCACCCAGGACATTGAATAGGTGGGTTTATGTGTAATATTGGTATATGTTCAATCATTAAAGTAGAGCTTTGGGCAATCTTGTAGGGCCTGTCCTTTGCTTAGGATACAAAGATCACAAATGTGATAATAGAAATTGACTCCATGGAAGCTTTCTCTTACATGGATTGTTATCAAACAGAGGAAGTCATTCTATATTGACCAGAAGGATTCGCAATTACTTGCAGCAACAGAGGAATGTTAGTGCCTGTCTGACATGAAGCAAATTTAGGAGCTGATCTCATGACAAAAATCGGGCTAAACTATCAGAACCATGATCTCATGTATGTTCAAGATCCTTCTGTTCAAGTGATGCAGAGGGTGCAATTTGATCGTTCTCGTATAGTATAGGAGCTAGTTGGACACAACTTGCAAGCTTGGAGTAGCAGTTTGTAGTGAGTCTTTGTTGTTTGTTTATGGGCTTGTTGCCTTGCACTTATACCAAAAAAATTAATGTGTTTAGAGGTGGAAAAGTAGGCGCCTTGTCATCAATTCACCAAAAAATGAGCTAGCCAGCCCGCCCTGCTTTTGAGAGTGGGCTGAAAAGCTCAGCCCGCCGGCCCAAATTTATTCTACACTAACCCATCCCCCTTTCCGGCCAAAAAACGAGACAGCTCGTCCCGCCTCGTTTGGCGGACGGGGCTGGTTGGCCCTCCGAGCCAAGTCCGTTTTGTTGACCCTAACTGTGCTATTGAATATTAACATACCTAAGACTTGAGTTTGAAAAAAATTAGTGAAAGTATGAAATAGATATTTTTTTTTTAAAAAAAGTATGAAATAGAATTAAATAATATTATAAAACTCATAAAGTATAATTTATTTTTAATTTTTTAAAAATGATTGACTTACAACCCATCAACCTGCCATAAAATGGGATAAATTTTTTTAAAATCACTCTCAAGAAACGGGTCAACTTTTCTTGTCCTATTTTGGACAAATTGATTGCGGATGACCCACTCTATAATTATAATTATGTGAATACCCTCGAAAAAATGTTTCAGATCTTTTTTTTTTCTCAAACAATTAAAAGCCTATGCGGTTTACTTATTTTTAAAATTAATTATTTTAATTACATATAAAAAAATAATTCACATAATATTAATCATTATTTTTATTTTCTTGTTTTTCTTTTATTTTTTATTAAAATCAATGGGGCATATTATTTTATGTGAAATTGTAAACTTTATGAGTATCATTTTATTCACCCTAATTTTTTTTTTTTTATTTTTATTTTATTTTTTTATTCACCCACTCTTCTCGTTCCTCATAATAAGTCATATTATTCCTTAGTCTGCCACTTTTTTTTTTTTTGTCTTTTAAAAAAAACTGGCCACAATTACCTTTTTTCCTATCCACTTACTGGCTCCCAAGAAAATATCGTGGAAAATCCTATAGCACTAGTACTACCCCATAAAATTCAACTTGCCTCCATGACATCTTTAGCGTAACCAGTCACAATTCTGAATTCTCCCCCTTTCAACCCAACTCCTGATCAAAATGCACAACTTACTCACCTCCCACCCGCACTAGTTCCAGATCTCTTTATGGAAAATCTGATAGTGGATTTGGATTACAAGTTGCACTATTCTCAGTTTTTAAAACTGGCAATGAGATGTCAGAAGTTAGATCCCTCACTAGTTTATTCATTTCCATCCTAATGTCCAAATACAAATTTAGTCACGATAGAACTCATACTCATGTACCTGCACCCATAACTTCAAAGATAAACCAAACAAGTAATATTATAATAGTACTTATTTGTTTTTGTGCAAGCCAAATTACATTATTAATTCTATGATCTTAATTATTCTTATTACTTTTTTTGTAGCTTGAAAATTATTCCAAAGCTTTTATTCAAGATTTAAAACCCCCACTATTTTGATAAAAGAATAAATAAGAGATGGCGCGTGGCAGCCGCTGGTTTAACTAAAAACAACCTTTCCTACATGAGAGGCAACTGAAACTGAAAGGATCCTTCCTTTTTCCTTCCCTTCCACACAAAAACATCATCTTTCTCTCTCTCTCTCCCTCTCTCCCTCTCTCTCACACACACACGCGCACATCACACACACACACTCTCTCGCTCTCTCCTTTCCCGATTGCACTGTACGAACACGAGTGAGTGTTCCTTCAAACCCTAATTTCTCGATTTCGTGTCTCCGATTTCATTTATCACGCATATTTCTCTTGCTGTTGCTGCTTCTGATTGTGGTTATGATTGTTATGATTTCAACTGTTGCGTTTGTTCGATTTTGAAATCTGATTGTGCTTGATCCTCATTGTTTCGATGCGTCAGAGCATTGATTTCAAGTTTGATTCGTAACTTTCATACCTTACATTCTAACTCATCCTGATGCATTAGATTTTGATGCGTCTGATGGTCTGCTCTTTTTTTATTTTTTATTTTTTACGTTGCACGCCTTTTTCTTCTGTTGATGTCAATTTGTTTTGTAATCTCATATTTCCTGTAGAGTTGCATCGCAGGCTAAGAAATATGGTTAGATTTGACCTTTTTTTGAATGAGTTATTTGAAATTGTAGCGGACATTTCTTTCTCGGATGTGATGATGCGTGGTATTTTGCGATTCATTGCTGGTTTTTTGTTGTGTGGTTGCAGTTTGAGATGGGGATATACCTCAGCACCCCGAAAACAGAGAAGGCCTCTGAAGATGGTGAGAATGACAAGCTTCGATACGGTTTGTCTTCCATGCAGGGTTGGCGTGCTTCCATGGAGGATGCTGTAACTACTATTTTCTTTTGATTCGTGTTATTTCATGTAATGCCATTTGCTTCTTTTGTATATCGCTATCAACAAGTAAGTGGCATGCTTACCGTTTCTTGATGTGTTATGTCATGTGATGCTGTTAATTTCAGACATTTGGTTGTGCACAAGGGAAGTTATTGTAGAAAAAGTAGTGTGGATTTATAACCAGCACTATCTGACAACTAAGTCTAAGGAAAATCTTAAGCTTGATTGACATATTCACATAATAGTGATTGATTAGCTAATTTAGTGACATAATTCTGACTGATAAGGTAATTTTGTTGTCTGCACAATTGATTGAGAAAATTTTAGAAGGAGTATTATCTTATGTTTAAAGAAACTTATAGCTTACTATTTCACTGTTAATATGCTACAATGAAGAGACCAAAGGTATCACTTACTCACAGCACTTCAACAAAAAATATTTCTGTCAGCTATTGACATGAATGTGCAAATATAACTAATAATATTTCAATTTTTCAACTCCTCTAGTATAGTTATACACTCATGAGAAGTTGCTTCTTTTTGGAAATGATGGTTGCATATATTTGTGTGTGATCTAGATGATTGGTTTACCTTGATTCTTTTGTACTTCTGTAGCCCGGCATTGTCATACTATCTATTCAAATGGTGTTTACAAGTTTTAATTTTTCTATATTACTTGCCAGCATGCAGCTCATCCATATTTGGATGATTCTACGGCTTACTTTGGTGTTTATGATGGCCATGGAGGTCAGTATCAGCTCTTTATGTTTTCAATAATATTTTTTTGATGTGTCCATGCTCATTTGCAAAAGCAGCAAGGAAAAGATATTTTACTGATTTGTTTATCAATTAAATTTATTTGGACTCGTATCTTACCACTAGACTTCTCCCTGTAAAGTGTAAACTATTAAGAAGGAAATTTATTTCATCACTTGGAAAGCTGAGCGCACTGAGGGAGGGGTTTCTAGTGTTTGAGATTGTTTGAAGCTTGGTGCTTTCATTTTGAAATTTCCTTTGAAACCCAACTTAACATGGGTGGCTTTTGCCACTTAACATACAATTGTCTTTTATGTGTTGCTGATCAGGTTTTCATTTTATTTTGCATGACCTTGTCTGCTTTGTGTTTTCCCATAACGAAATGTCATTTGTAATGTGAATAACAGCATTATATGAATTAGAATTCTTTCAAACTTATAGGATGTAAAAAACTGCTTAAGATTTGGTCATTTTCTTTTATAAATAATTGCTTGCATTATATTATGTGGTTCCCAAGTTCAATATATTTTCATTCTTGACCACCAAAATCCATGTAGTCTTAACAATTTTAGCACATTATATTTGTTAGACTCATCTGAGGTCAGATTTGAGTTTTGACAGAAATGCCTTTTCGGGAATGCCTTCCCCCCATTGAATTTGATGCTGAAAGTCCTTAGAAAAGTGACTAAATAGAAAGTTAGGATTTCATAAAAGAGTAACCCTCTGCTTCTCAATTTCAATTAACAAAATAACAAAATTCTACTCCTACAATAAGGGTCATAAGCACTTTTTTATAGACTAATTACAAATTGATCCAAAATTCAAAATCCTAAAAATAAATATAACGATAATTAACTTCTAAAATAAATAAATAATTACAATCAAAATCTTTCAAAACACGTCCCAAATCTTAGATCTCAAATCATGCCAAATATGTTGTTTTCCTTTTCTTGCCAAACAAATCAGAATCATATCTGTTGCTTCCTTTGGACTTGGATTTGATCGCAATATGTTATATTTCAAATTACTACTTTTAACAATTGGGCCATACTTATTAGGCCACAATTCTGGTTGACTTTGGGTTTCTTGAATCAATGGTTGGGCCATGTGCAATGGGCCGAATGTAAGTGCATCATAATTTTTATTTTCAATTTCAGTATTTTGCTCTGCTGGCCATGTTAAACGAAAAAGGGGGGGGGGGGATATCTTTTTTTTGGGGGGGTGTCTCTCTCTCCCTGTGTGTGTGTACTGTATCTATATTAGGCTATTAGCCCATTCCAGGCTCAATTAGTATTGAATATAGCTAACTTGAGGACTTGGAGATGTTTATAAATCTTAAATCATTTCAAAATTAATATGATGGGGCAGACCTATATAACATACTTATTAGCTAACATCTAGATTTATAATCCTCAATATGGTTTCATTGGTTTGCAGGCAAAGCAGTTTCGAAATTCTGTGCCAAGTATCTTCACCTGCAGGTGCTTAAGCATGAAGCTTACTTAGCTGGAGATTTAGGCACATCTTTACAGAAATCTTTCCTCAGGTAATTTTGTTTGTTGTTTTTCTTTGGAATTTTTATCATTCTTACTGGATGCTACTAAAATCCAGGGGATGAGATAATAGGGTAGGTGTCCTTCGTCTGTAAAAACTAATTAGGCCTGGGCTCAAGCCTGGAAATGCTGTTGCACTGAATGATGTACCTTATCCGACTACTTTATATGCCCCAGGGGAGATTTGGCATCCTGGTGTCTTATAGCGGGAAACTAAGAAATTAGGGGCAGTTACGAATAGTTTTAAAACACTTTTCTTGTCCATTTTATTTTCCCCTTTTCTCGTGAGTGATTAGAAGAATTAAAACTTCTCCTTTTATCTCTTCATTTTCTTTGTATCCTATTTTTACTCAAATACTACATCTCAAAATAACTAATGTAATAAAAATATTCATAAATAAAGGAGTTTTAAAAGTACACGCCTTTCAATGTGTGTGAAGAACTTTATGCTTGTTAAAAGATTAAAATTGTCACTACTTGAACTGAAAGTCATTTTATGAAATATTTTGTTATCTTTTACTTATATTTCTTTTCTTCCATGGTTAAAAACATTTGCGCATGTGGGGATTTATGGATGTGAAAGTTTTATCCCCAATAGTGGAGATGGAGATATGGAGTTTAGACAGAAATCTTCTGTCAAAATTATGTCCTGTTTTTTATATTTTCCTTCATATTGAGGCAGAATGGATGAGATGATGCGCGGACAAAGAGGGTGGAGAGAATTAGCAGTCTTGGGAGATAAAATAGAAAAGTTATCTGGTATGCTAGAGGGGTTTATATGGTCTCCCAGGAGTAGTGAAGCCAATGACCGAGTTGATGATTGGGCTTTTGAGGAGGTAACAAATAAGGAGCACATTTTGTTTTTCTTGCACCACCTCTGCTTGTTTTTCTAACTTATTCTATTGTTCTACATGCAAGTTGGAGAGGTTTTGATGTATGAAATTTAAGCTTATAGTCACTATATCAGAAGCTCTTAAAGTTTGCTCAAATGTGTGTGTTCATATGAACCACGTTTGTCAATGTAACTTGGCATTTTTCTACTATTTGGTTTATTTTTTCTATCAAAATTAAATCTAATAATGAAAAAAAAAAAAAAATTAACTTAACTGTGCTGGTTAGTATACCTGTTGATGTGGATGAGTTATTTGTATAACTGTTTTTGTTAGTACTGCTTAAAAACTAAACAGCTTTTGTCAGTTGCAACTTTCTAAAACCTTTGTGTGTTACTTTTCTTGTGTATGTTAGAATTTCAACATGTCAGCTTTGTTTCATGTGTTCTCTGAATTGTCTACCTCATACATATGGTGATGGTTCACTGCAATATACTCATGTATGAATAAATGTGAACCTTAAAAATCAACTCTTGGAAGGTGTTATGATCTATGTGACAATTTGACAAAAGGTCCTTTCTGATTAAGTGATTACAACTACAAATTACAAGGTCTGATGTGGGGCATACACACTTCTAATCCCCCTTACCATATAATTTTTTTTTCTTATGCTGCGAATTAGGGACCCCATTCTGATTTCAGTGGACCGAACTGTGGAAGTACAGCTTGTGTGGCTGTCATCCAAGGAAACAAACTTGTAGTCGCAAATGCTGGTGATTCTAGATGTGTGTTATCAAGGAAGGGCCAGGTATTTCCTCCTCTTACAGTTTTTTAGTCTTCTGTGATTTTTTTTAGTACATAGTCTTCTGTGATTTTAGTAGGCACGCAATATAGGCATATAGGGTACAGCTTATGAGTGTGCGGGTACATGATGATCAAGGGTGCTAGTTCAGTCTACATCTTTTGTATTCTGAGATAGATGTTTCAGTATAAATAAACTTGCACCTGTTTGATGTACCATGCTTTATTTGTAAAAGTTTTAAAAAAGAGCAGGTATTGATATACTTTTACACTTGTTTGTTGAGTATATTGATATCAGAAAATAATTTTGACATCTAGATGCCTTCCTCCAGAGTCTAGTCTTCCCCTGCCCATCATCACCCTCAATATTTCTGACTCTTGTAGTCCTAAATTATGAATTTACACAATTTAGTGTCTTATGAATTGATGCCTTGATGGCATGGCACAGCTACTGTTTAGGAAGATTTGGATGCATGGTTATTTAATGATTTATTTGCAGGCACACAATTTGTCTAAAGATCACAAGCCTGACCTTGAGGCTGAGAAAGACAGGATTCTAAAAGCTGGTGGTTTCATCCAAGTTGGACGTGTCAATGGAAGTTTAAACTTGGCTAGAGCAATTGGTAATGGAAATTCCTTTTTGTTATAAATTCTTAATGTAAAGCAAAGTGTAAGATTTTATCATTCTCCTCAAAATTTTAATAGTTGTTGTCTCGAGTTTTTTTTTTTTCCTTCACCAGTTCCAAGTGTTTGTAATATAAATTTCTATTTATTACAGGAGACATGGAATTCAAGCAGAACAAGTATTTGCCTGCTGAAAAGCAGATTGTGACTGCTGATCCGGACATAACTTCTGTAAGTATCACTCTGTGCATTATAAAAAACTGATTAAAAAAGTTAATATTTATGGAATGTTCTTTTTTTTTTGTGCCTGTGTTATTTTTATGTTTAACTGATTAAAAAACTATTTATTTGAAAAATATATATAACATGAATTTCTTATACTTCTTCTGGCATCACTTCAAATGTAATGTTCCTTCATAGTGTTCTTTAATTTCTTTGCTCAAATATAAATTTATATATATTCTTTCTAACAGGTTGAGCTTTGCGATGATGACGAGTTTCTTGTAATAGCTTGTGATGGGATATGGTAGGTTACTTGGTTGCTTAAACTTCCTCTTGAAACCCCATTGCTATTACCAAATTCATCTAGATGGCAAATATTCCTTTTTTATATTGTAAATCTTAATTTAATTAATTTACTATAACATAACCTCTTATATGTGTAGGGATTGCATGTCTAGCCAACAGCTTGTGGACTTTATACATGGACAGTTAAAGACAGTTAGTTTTCTTTGGTTTCCTTTGTTTATTTTACAGATAAAATAATTTGAATACAGCATTCAGATTGTTGTAATTGCAAAATCTGGTTGTAACCTGTATGTAAAATCATGACTATGCAGGAGAATAAACTTTCTGTGGTTTGTGAGAAAGTATTTGATAGGTGCTTGGCACCAACAGCTGGTGGCGAGGGATGTGATAACATGACCATGATCTTGATTCAGTTCAAAAATCCTTCGAATACAGGTGGTGCTGTCACAAACCAACCTCAGTCGTCTGATCAACCATCCGAAGCTGATAGAAGTTCAGAGAAAATAGAAACGAAGTGAGAAAGAATTTCAGACCCGAGTATATGGCCATCAAATTTCGTACTGCATGTTGAAGCAATGGTGGGCAGAGGTGTTCATGGGTAACATTTCATATCCAGATTCCTGGATGTTGATTCTCAAATAGGGGATTGTAAATTTGTGAAAAACTGCTAGTTGATGGGGTTATTGACTTTGTACATAAGTGGTGTGGGTGTCTAAAATATGAAGGGGATAAAATGGTTCAGCAAGCATGCTGGTAGACCGTTACATGGATGGCTAAAATAACCTTTTGGAAAATTACCAATGGTCGTTAACCGGAAGAACACGTAAAACAACGTGTCTGGATTCCGTAGTCATATTCGTTATCCGTGATCTGGATAAGATGTTTCTTAAGGATTCAGTGCGATGTATGGAATTTTTTTGTTTGTGCACTCTAAAGACCCCCTAGTTGGTTCATACACCTGTGATCCACTTGACATGACTGTTATTGTTGTTAATTTTCTATTTTGGAGATGATACTTCCTCGTTAATTTATTGACCGATTATATTGACGTTAATTTGTTTGCAAACTAAACTATTTTCTCAAATTTATTTTTTTTGGAAATGGCGAGGGTATTGATACTTGCCAAGGAAGGTTGAGATGCAAGTTGTGCTGCTTTTATATTTTCAATTTTAAGCAAGCATGTCGCCGAAACGCTTGTAGGTAATAATCAATTAGGCCATGGCCCATGGGGAAGAGTGAAGTGCATTTTGTGGGTCATAGCCCAGAGGAGAATCAAATGTTCCGCCCAGCCACAGGCCACAGGCCCAAGAGGAACCGCAAGGCAATAACAAAAAGCGATATAGAGCAGGCTTGGTCGTATGGTCCAAACGTAGCAAACCAGTGCCAAGGCATTCAATTATGGGTCACACACTTTCCTTTTACCCTCGGGCTCACAATAGAATTTTTCTTTCAATTATTTTTCTTCGTTTTCATACTCTTTTCCTTGGCATTTCTCGAATTGTTTGCGAATAGTAACACTCCACATGCTTTGATATCCGCAACTTTATTTATCTACTGACATTTTCAATACTAAAAGCATCAGATTTTTATAAATTAAATTGTGTTTTTCAAGCGTAATTCAAATAAAACTTGTTAAGAATAGAAAATAAACATTTAAATTAAACAATAAAAGTTTGAATTTAAGGATACTTATAGAGATACCTTAGTCAAAGACCCAAAACTGATTCAGAACATTTATTATAAATATCATGTCAATGTACCAATACAAAATGCCATGTTAAAAATTAATTTTATAATAAATTCACATTTTTTTTAAGAAAAGAGATTCGTATGTAGTAATGAGATAATACTAGCTACATATCAAAGGGAAGAGAAAATATTAAAAATATAAGTTTTGAGATCTGTAATACTTTAAAAATACAACACACATTTTTGAATACAAATGATTACATAACAGTGTAAAAAATTAACAGATAAGAACAGCCAGAAAGAAAATAGACACAAAAGCAACGTGGACCATCATAGAACTCCGACTTTGATGGTATAATGGTTGCAATGATGACACGTTTTGGATCATCATCAGGACCCCTTATCCAATTTCTGAGAAGGATCGTTTCTATCTGATCCTTTCGTTTTACGATTTTGTCAGAATCCATCTTAACCTTTTGTTATTCACACTCACACGTCGTCAAAACTCAACACGCTCCTTTAGTTACTTCTCTCACTCGTCAATGGTTCTTTAGTTGTTTCTTCTCCTTTTTGACCCAACTTTCTTCATTTTTCATACTCTTGGGCTCAATTTAAGACAAACATATTTTTTCCCCCTTTAAATTTGTAATTGCAAACGTGATCACAATTTGTCTATTGAATTATTAGGATACATTAATTCAATTAGTCCTCTTGAAAATTACGAAAACTAATTAATTAGATAAAATCCTTTAACAATAAATGTAAAACAGGGTTTGATGTTTGTCATTTTAAATGACATGAGTTATGTCATTTTAAAAGAGATAAACACAAGAAATGAAAATCATGGAAGAGAAAAAGTGGGTAATTTTTTTTAATTTAAATTTTAAATAATTTTTTTTCTCTTGTCTATCTCTCTTTTAAAATGACAAACACTTTTTCAACTTTAAAATGATTTAATTTTCATAAAAAGAGAAAAAATTATCTTTTGTTTTATGACATACACTTTATAAATAAAAATAATAATCCTCATAACATCGTAGGTTCACCATTATCTTTCTATATTGCACGGACACTGACATGGGACACGGGATATGACATAATACGACACGATACGAGACTTCGACACGTTAATTCTAAAAAAAGTTAAATTTCGACACGTTAGGACACGTTTTGATATTATATAATATTTTTAATTTATGTAGTGTATATTATATTTGGTATTCAATAATTTAACAAAAAAAAAAGCTAAACTTATAATACCCATCAATTTTGCAAAGAAACATAATATATCTTAAACTTATATTAAACTCAATAAAATCATAATCATAATCTAACGAATCTAATAGTTGAAACTCAAAATGCAACGCAACATAACATTTGAATCTTTTTTTGAGTCTTTGTAACGAGTATTGGAGTATCGGAGTGTCGGACACGACACGTCAGAATTTTTGAAGTGTCGGTGCTTCATAGTTATCTTTTACCAACATAAGTTCACCTTAAATAAAGAATATGGAGTCAATAATATAAAATAACCCTTTTGAAACAATTATTATATTAAATTGTAAGAAAATTCTTTTAATAAAACAAAAGAATATTTTTTTACTAAATTAGTTGACTAATATTTACTAAATTAGTTGACATTATGAATTCATTCTAAGTTTTAAAGAACAATAAATAATATTGGGTCCGTATGAAATTTTTTAATATATATATAGATCCTACCTTATATACATAATATCATTTGGTTATAGATAAACCGTATGTATACATAATTTTAATTTTTTTCAAGTATGACAGTAGAAACATTTTATGTATGAACCCTGCTCCTAATAATACTCTGTTAAACTTACGACGATAGTTGGAAACAAGAAAGTACCGACACGTTTTATTTAAAAAAATTTGTGTATCCGATGTGTGGGAACAGTGAACAAAATGTCACTGTTACTAAATTTTTTTATTAAAATGTTACGTTAACAGTGTTAATTCTCAATATGTCACGTGGCAAGTTCGCTACCTGGGGTAGCGAACTTGGTTGCAATTAATGCACCTGCACGTTTTCACCTACCACGCCACGTGGCAGACATGCAACGAAGTTCGCTACCCGCCCTAGCGAACTTCGTTGCATGTCTGCCACATGTCATCGTAGCAGGTGGAAACGTGCAGGTGCATTAATTGCAACCAAGTTTGCTACCTCAGGTAGCGAACTTGGTGTCCACTGGGAACATGATACGTTAGCAAACTGAGTTCGCTACAGTACCCAACGAACTTACCCACGTGGCATATTGAGAATTAACATTGTTGGCGTGGCATTTAGAGAAAAAAGTCAGGGAACAATGGCATTTTGGTCTCTGTTCCCCGATATGTGCTTGATATACGGTCAATATTTTAGAACCTTTAGATACATTCTGACACGTGTTATTTACATTTACACCGATTAACTTTTTTTGACACACAATCAAGTTTCAACACGTATACTATATTTTTTTTTAGGTCTACATTTTATTTATAAGTCAATTTTTGTTTCTCTTGTTTGACATAAAAAATTAACAAGGTATGAAAAATTACTTTTGCTTTATATTTATGTTATGGAATTTGAATATTTGATTGGTTATATTACTTATTATGGACTGTTAGATGTACTAAATATAAATTATATTGTATATATTAAAAATATTATATAATATCAAAATGCGTCTTAACGTATCAAAATATGATATTTTTTAGAATTAACGTGTCGGCGTGTCGTGTCTCATGTCCCGTGTCGGGGCAAGATATGTTGAAATTCCTCGGCTCTTTTATTTATTTATCTACCGGCACGATGACATTTAGTTAGATATTTTGGAAGCAAGGAATGAATACTCTGACCAAAATAGCCAATATCAAATATTAAGTGGGTAAATTAGATTAAGATTTTAAAAGATTTTTTTGAGATAATTTTGTTTATAGATTTTAAAAGACTTTTCAGAATTTGAAGGACTTTAAAGATATTTTTTTACAATCAAAATTTCATAAGATTTGATTTTGAAGGATTTTAATAGAATTTATAAAATTTGAAAGGACAATATAGATTTATATACTTTTAAAAAATCATATGAATTTCTAACAAATATTCAAAATTATAAGAGTCAATAAAAGAAATAACAAAGAAATGCAATGATATTAATAAAAAGAAGTAAAACCTAATATAATTTTTAACAAACATTCAAAATTTTCAAGCAACAGCTCTCCACGTCTCTAAAGCTATACTAGTCCTTCACGCATTATATATATGGCTTTAACGTTTCTAAAGTGAATGTAGATAACTATATTCGCTCCCAAAACGACGTCATTTTGGGTTGAAAAATTAAAAAATTATAATGAAAAAGACTATTATAACCCTGAAATAAATTATAATTACAAAAATACTTTTATTTTCGCCTCAAAACGACGTCATTTTGGACTCAATGTAGATAAGTTATCTACATTGAATGTAAAAAAAGAGAACCCTATATATATATATATATATATATATTACATTTCTATAGCCGCTTTATATATATATATATATATATATATATATATATATATATATATATATATATAGCAAATATTTGACTGTTGCACGTACAACAGCGGTAGAAATGTAATATATAGAGAGAGAAATATCTCTCAAACAGCTTGAGATATATTTATCTTTGTCTACCCAAAAACTACGTCGTTTTATTTATTTATTTCCTTATATTAATTGATTCACCTTTAAATGGTTATTATTCCTTTTTTCCTTATCTTCTTTTATAACCATTGATCCGTATTTGTACGATTATGATTTAGTAGGCAGAGATAAAATTATCTCTAGTTGTAGCAGCTTGAGAAACGATAAGTTTATATATATATATATATATATATATATATATATATATATATATATATATATATATGGGTAAAACATTGTAACAACCAATTAGTGTTACTACTAATCAATGGTTATTATGTATCATTGCCAAACACCAAACACAAAGGATATTAGGATTTACAAATATGTGATTTACAACATATATATGTGATAGAGCTTGCCACCGAATTTTTATTATGTATCGTTGCCAAACACCAAGAATATTAGGATTTTATGTTCATTATAATCCAAACAATATACAAAAGAAGAAGGTCGACGAAGAATACATGTGATAAATTTATTTTCAATTTCAAAATGAAGACGTGAGCACATACATGTTTATCGTCAACTCTATACAACTCTAAAAAATAATAATGAACCACATCATTAATCATGAAGGAGGAATATCAAAACCTGAGAAAATATATAAAAGTAAAAAAAGAACATACTTTGACTTTGAAAAAAGGCTAAAGTAGATTATATACAACAGAGAAATCTCAAAAAATCTTAGGGATTAGGATGAGATTGTGAGAGAGGTATCTTATTTATATTTCACGAAAATCACATCAATAAAAAATTCATTAAAATAATTATATTTTTAAATATTACAAGATTATTATTTTTTTGTTTAAAATCCTAATTGAGTGCCAATGAATTTGGATGGATTTTAAAATAATATTTTAAAATCTTAATCGAATATCATATAATTTTTTTAATCTTTTAAAATTTTAATTGAATACTAATAATTTTTTTTTAAAACTAATTTATTAAAATCTTTTAAAAACTGAGTACAAGCGAAATAAGGGGGCGTTTGGTACGCGGAATTTTGAGGGATTCCCGGGAAACTGAATTTTTTTAAATTTTAAATTTTCAGATATTATCGTAAACTGAATGCAAAAATCATATTTTTAAAAATCGAGATTCTCGGACAAATAAAAATTTCTCCTGTACCAAACGCCTCCTAGTCTTCTAATTCTGACCAAGCAAGAGCCAAAGTAGATAAGATATACTCAAGAATCTGTCTCTCTCTCTCTCTCTCTCTCTCTCTCTCTCTTTTCCTTTCCTGTGCCCTGTGCTGTCTGTTTCTTTCCTCTCGCTCGTGGGAAATTCCACGTCACGCCACGCTTGACTAAATAGATAAGAACCGTGAATAGGACCAATTACTATTCCCCATTTTCACTATCATTTATTATTATATAAATCTTTTCCTTTCAGGTTTTGATTCTGGTTTAACTGCTATCATTTGATCTATTCTGCAATTATTCAGCTTCTAATTTAAAGAAAAGAAAACCAACACACTATTTTAGGGTTACGGCAGATTCCCCATCAAATCAACTTGACGTGCCCATTGATCCATTCCAAACAAAATCTTCCTTCGTAGAAAAGATCAAAGTTTCGATATTTATAGCCAAAGGCTTTCTGGGTCGTTGTGAGTTTGTCTTGGATATTTCTGGTTTGGGAGATTAAGAGCTTTTATTACAATGGCTGCTGCAGCTGCTGGGGTTGTTGGTGGTAATGGTTCATCTGCTTCTTGGATGCTATTCAGAAGCAGGGAAAGGAAGCAAACCAAGGTGAACATGGCTAGGATTTGTTGTTCTTCTTCTGTGATGGATCCTTATAAGACCTTAAGAATACAACCAGGTGCATCTGAATCTGAAGTTAGGAAGGCTTTCAGACAGCTTGCTTTGAAGGTTTGATTCTCAATCTTCTATTTTCCTTCTGTTTTTGGTTAAAAATTTACTCCAAAATTGAGGGCTTTTTCTAATATATGATTAGATTGATATTTGGTTTTGTCATTTTAATTTTGAATAACTGATGTCTGGTGATTGAGTTCGTATTGGGCTAATTTTCATAAAAATATTTATTAATTGGTATTCTTTTTTATGTTTTCAGTACCATCCTGATGTCTGCAGAGGGAACAATGATGGGGTTCAGTTTCACCAAATCAACGAGGCTTATGATGTGCGTTATCCTAAACCTACAATTTCTCTATATTTCAGTTCAATGGTGAATTAATTTATACTGCATATAATGGAAAGAGAAAACTGTTGGTTTATCTGGGATTTTTTTTTTTTTTTTTTGAATAATCTCAAGGTATATATCCTCTCGTAATCAAAGATTAATCCTTATCCAGCACTGTTGGACCCTTTTGGGGTGGCTTTTCAAATCTTTTTTTCTGTTCTTATGACTTTCAAATCTTTTTTTTCTATTCTTACTACTCAAATTCGAGATCTCTGATTAAGAGGCGTATGCTTCTTACCAAAGAGTTTGGTTTGGAACTCTCATTTTGGTTCATTGGTTGTTCAATGATTGTTAGTTTTTCTTCCTCTTAACACATGGTCCGTGCATTGTGGCATGAGAACTATTGAAGTGTGAGTAATAGTTGTAATGTTAGGATCATCCCCCAATTAGCGTTGTTCAAAAGCAACAAAAGCAATATATTGTCATTCTTGGGGGGCCATAGTTTTTTAGCATTATTTAGACTCTGCCTAACACAAACATTATCTAATTGGGATATCAATGTTGCTTATTTGGTGCGCAGATTGTGATGGCCAATCTGAGAGGAGAATCAAATGCGACAGAAATATATGAGGCGTATGATGCAGGCATTGATGAGCCATTGAGGGGAATGAATGAACCAGATTGGGACATGTGGGAAGAATGGATGGGATGGGAAGGAGCTGGAATTCGTGACTACTCATCTCATATTAATCCTTACATTTGAAAATTTTATTTCGATGTATTTAGGCTTTGAATCATTATCATGCATTAGTTAAAGTGGGTCTAAAGTCACTTGTCCCCACAGTCACACACTCTGTGGTTGGTGGTGTTCTTTGTATATAGACGAAGTGAATGGAAAAGTTTACTCTGCATTATTGAAGTTGAGGAAGTGACTTATTGTTAATACAAATATTATTAAATTCGGATTGGTCACAGATAATGAGCTGTTCGGTTATTGGTTTAATTAGTGGGTTGTTAATTTAATTGCATAACCCGGTCTGGTCATTGACATGAGGTACTGGATTATTGATTTAATTAGTGAGTTATTGATTTGATTACATAATTGTAAATTTATATTTTATATTAAAAATTATAAATATATTCAAATATCTGTAAAAAAATATATAAATTTTAAATATTTTAATATGAAAAATAATAATTATATATTATTATCTAATAAAAGATCAAATAATTTGTGATATTGGTGTTTCATATTTAGTAGACAAAATCTCTAGTTATAAACTAAATCAAATTTTTTTGTATAGTGTATAATCAAAATAATATTGGTGTTGTAGACAATGTTAATAAAACCAGCTAGACTCGGGAATGGTAAACTGGTCATATAATCGGTTTGAGTGAAGCAACAGATCGGTCATGCATCAAAATTGATGTAACCCGATGTGATCTGGTCAGTTTTCGTGAAAATTGGTGACCCGGCCCGATTCCAAAAAAAAAAAATTCAATTTTTTTTTGTAACAGACATTTTTTTTGTTTATTGACTTACATAAGTTATGTACCTACTTTATTAATATTATCTCAATTATGCACTAATTTTGATTTGATTTATAGTTAGAGATGTCTTTTACTGAACCTAAAGTCTCGTATCACGATCACTATATTTTTGCTTGGTTCTTTATTGGATAATAATGTGAGATTTATTATTTTTTATATTAAAATATCTGAAATTTTTATATTTTTTTAAAGATATTTGAGTATATTTATAATTTTTTAATATAAATTATAGAATTGCATAAAATTACTAGTCATGCGATTCAATGAGTGATCTATTAATTAAATCAATGAGTTAATGACTAAGTACCTCGACCGAGTTAATAACCGATTTTAATAATATTGCTTGAATTTTTTTTATAAACCCATTTTTTGAAAAATCAATCACCTCGTATCAATTGTATTGCTTGGCTGATTTAACATGAAAATTGGATCAATCATATAATCGATTTATCAATTTTCAGATTGACTAGGCCGGGCCGATGCCATTTTCTCAACACTGGTTAATACTCAAATACAAATGAAAAGCTACCCAAAAAAAAGAAAAGGGGGCAGAAAGTTGATTGCCCGAACAGTGTTCAGCATCTACGCATAGTTATCTCTGTCAGAAGGATAGGGTTAGAGAAGAGGCTAATATCAGGTCACCGCTTGTGACATGTCATTGCCTAAATTTATCATTTTTCTCAATGTTCCACTATTATTGGCCTTTTGGCCGTTATATTATAAAAAGAAAAAAAAATTATCACTTTATGGCAGCTTGGAAACATATTATTAAATATTAATGGGTAAAATATTTCTTTGGTGATAGAAGATAAGTTATCTTCAGATATTCTCAAAATTATATAATTTTAAATTAATGAAGGATATTTTGTAATTTTATTTATTTTTTTATCATATAAATTTTACAAAAACATATTTCATTAATTTTTTTAAAATTATAAAAACATCTTTTATTAATTTAAAACAACATAATTTTAGAATAATCAGGAATAACGGAAGAAATACTTACCCAATATTAATACCTAGCAATTGATTTTCCTAGGACGAAGGATAGCGATTCGCTAGCACAATCCTAGTCCTAGGCTCCTAGCCATTCGTTTAAAGTAGTATTTCCTTTATTATTATTATTTTCTATTATTTCTCTTTGTAAACATTAATTAACATTATAAATAAATTAATATATTGATAATTAAGATAAAAAGTAAAAATATTATAATTATTTTAAAAACAAACATTAAGAACATTGAATCAAATAATAATTAATGTAATAAACAATTTTCATTTGTGATTATTATATAAACTCAAAAATACCAATAATTTTTCTTTTTCTTCTCCAAATTGCATATAAAATTTAAATATCTTAAAAAGTATGGAAATTTTAAGTGACCATGTTTTTTTTTTCTCTTGCAACATATATTGATTGATTACTCCAAAAAAATCTGAATCAAATAAAACAATAATAAGAAACATAGCATATAAATTATAATGTTTCATGAATAATTCTATCATTCAAATAAATGTGGATTACGTATTTTATCATTCATTCAACTTAAATTATATCAAATATTTGAATTCTTTTGACAAAAAAAGAAAGACAGAGAAAAATCAATCATCAAAATTTGAAATTAATGTTTTTGAATTTGAAGGAATTTCAAAAGATCATTCAAGATATATTAAATTTATTTATAATTTTAATTATTGTCTAATTGAATGAATTTAATATCAATTTCAAAAATAATAATAATTACATTACAATAATAATTATTAAATACTAATTATTATTTATAATATATTGCCATGTAACAGCAGTAGAAGTCCTATTGGGTTGGGTTGGGTGCTGAGATCAATCTCGATTGTTGTCACATGATACCTTGGTGCTTTTGGTCCTAGATACACCAATTACTATAGATTAGTAATGTTTCCATGTTGCTATAATGTGATAGTTTTTTGTTTTGTTTTATGTTTTTAAATAATATTTCGGTTAAAAAGCCACAAGTGCCACTCTTCAAATAAAAATAATTCTCCCAATTGTGATGCTATTCCTTGAAGATATTTTCATTTCCTTTTGAAATATTTGTTTAATACTTTGTAAGTTAGGAATCTTCATTGTAGAGTTAATCATAAAAAACAAAAAATTGCCATTTATAATTTCTATACACTGAACTTTAATGATGAAGTGCTTTCTGATTTGTCTTTAGTTGGCAATTTGACATCGAGATGATATACAAAAATAAGTATTGATGATTCTTTTCGAGTCAAAAAAGAGTTATATATATTTTTATTGGGGAATGATCTGTTTATAAATTTTTGTTTTACAAATTATTGATCATACACTCTTGATTGAAGTATTACCGGTCATACCTAATATAATTTATAAAAAGCTTTAATGTTTCTAACCAAAAGGATTGAAAAATTAAAAAATTATAATGAAAAAGACGATTATAACCCTGAAATTAATTATAATTACAAAAATATTTTGATTTCCACCTCAAAACGACCTCGTTTTGGGCTCAATGTAGATAAGCTATCTACAATGACGGTAAAAAAAGTGAACCCTTTATAAAAATTTGTAAACAAAATGTAAATATATCCTTTTCCATTTTTATTTGCTGTTAACAGTATAAATGAACGAATGAAGTAATATTAATCCTTGACGAAGTGAATCGATTGCTATTCTCACTTGGTGAAATTATTATTGTACTTATTGTACATATGATGCACGAATGAAATTATAGGGTCGTTTTTGTCATTCCATCGATCCAAATTACTTTGTCACAGTGAAAAAGTCACCGCTGTTTAAGTGTTTCACGATCTCTCACACAATCTGGCGCGATGATTATCAGTTTCTGTTTCATTTGAGCACTCACAACGGTTGGTTATGCCTTTCCTACCCTCAAAAATCTTTATCTTTTGCCAATAAAATTGAACGGGTCATTCATTTTCCACTTTCCATTGATCCTTACAACCTTAATCTCTGCTCCTTAAATCACCTATTCTGGATACTTAGTTCTGTTTGGAGATAAATCTGTTGAAGGCTTTTGTCTTTTTATGTTTTTTTTTTTATGAGCATGCTTCAATAATAATAATTGAGATGAGTATTTCTTATATTACACGAGATAAAATTATCTATTACGTACATTTGGGTCTATGTGAAAAGAAGAGAGACACATTTTTATGTGTGTTGAAAATAATTTTATCTTCTGTAACATGAAAAACATTAATCTCATAATAATTATTAATTTGGTTTTTTTCCTACTCCAATTTGTATTGCTACCTTAATTTAGATTTGTTCTTCTTTAGAAAGTTCTAAATTTAGATTTGGCACTTAAGAACGAGTTATTATCAGAGGTAATAAATTTAGCTTTTTGTTCAAAGCTTGTGTGTGTGTCCATGATGCTATTGAACAATATAAGGGAATATTCTTTACTTGATGCATGGGTGAGCCACAAAGTTTAGATGCTAGATAGATACGTGGTTAAAAAAATGAATAAAGTGATGAGGTTGTGGCTAATGCTCTTTTTTAAGTTATATGGTTTCAGCATTAATTGCCAAATAGCAAACTTAGACAATGGGAGATCTGAAAGAGAGGCTTCTGCCACCAAAACCTGCATCAGCTGTTAACCTAAGAGAGTTATCAAATCGACCATCTTCATCTGGAAGACAAGTGTTTCAAGGAGTTGATGTTGTTGGGCTTAAGAAGAGAGGTCAAAGTCTCAGGTCATGGATTCGAGTTGACACGTGTGGTGACTCTCAGATAATTGAGGTAGACAAGTTTACTATGATGAGACGTTGTGATCTTCCTGCACGTGATCTTCGACTACTTGATCCTCTCTTTGTTTATCCATCAACTATACTTGGTAGAGAAAAGGCCATTGTTGTAAACCTTGAACAGATACGTTGTATTATTACAGCTGATGAAGTTCTTCTCTTGCATTCCCTTGATAGTTATGTGTTGCACTATGTGATGGAGCTTCAACGAAGACTCACAACAACTGGGGTTGTTGGTGAGCTCTGGCAGTTAGACAGTTCTGATATGAACCGTAGGAGAGGAAGTAGGGATTTTGAAAATGTCTTTAGCAACACATCCCCTGATTATTTGCCTTTTGAGTTTAGGGCTCTTGAAGTTGCACTCGAGGCTTCATGCACATTTCTTGACTCTCAGGTTTGTTCAAGTACAATATTAAAAATAAGAAGATGGATAGCATGTTTAGCATCTGCATTTACACTTTGTTGGATGATTCCCTAATGCATATACTTGTTTATTTTCTGGTAGATCTTTAAATGGTTTTATTTTTACTTACTGATCCTGTTATATATAGTTAGTTTCCTTATAAGAATTAAATCATTATGCACCTTTTTCAACTGACTAAAGGGTACATTTCAATGCCACCCTCCTCCCCTTTTTCAAAGTTCTGTAATTTTACTGATTTTCTTGCCATATCATTTAATCAAGCTACAAGAAGCATGATTCATCCATTGTAGGCTAAAAACAGATTTATTTCTTTTCAATATATGATAAATATGTTCATCCTAATTCAAATGCAGAAATGAACATTGTCAGTCAAAACAGCTTAGTGTTTTGACAGATACATACATCTTCCTGGAAACTCCTTATGCAGCTAGCATTAAGGTAATATATATAATATAGTCCAACAAGAGATAATATGTCAATAAATCCAATGCTATCTCCGGATTACCTTCGGTCAAGGGAAGTATTTGGTAAATCTCGTTTTCTCATTTACAAAATACATGCACATGTGCATATCTGTACATAAATATTATAATACTAGGATTGGATTATTATATTTTATAGCTTGATTCTTTGCGCACAGCTGAGTGTCCTTGTGATATAGAATAGGAAGAGAGAACTAAGTAATAATCTCAAATGACTCAAATTCTTAATTTTCAATATTAATATTAAGCTTACATCCCTATGACAGATAGTATATGCCTTATATAATTCTGAATATTCTAAGGCAACCAAACCAAAGTTAAGAGCAAGTAATCCTAATATTGATTAATAAGAAATAAACTTGATACAACAAGTAATAAGATATCCCAAGAAAGTTACACCATAAATCTCTGTCTCATCTCGTTATATTGCATTCTCCTCTGTACTTTTAAAATGGTTTGCAAAAACAAACTTCGGTTATTTTATCTCCAAGCAGGGTTCTTAATCCATAAGTTTGCATATTCTGTTTCATTTCTTCAAATTCTTATTCATTTGATTTTGATAAACCATTTATTAATACTTTCTGTTATGTTCTGGGTATTTCCAAAAGGCAGCTGAGTTAGAAATTGAAGCTTATCCGTTGTTGGATGAACTAACATCTAAAATCAGTACTCTAAATTTGGAACGTGCTCGTCGGTTAAAAAGCAGACTTGTTGCTCTCACTAGAAGGGTTCAGAAGGTGGTATTCATGTATATTTTTTTTCTTATTGGTTGCAGATGAAAGGGATTATTATTTTTCTTACTCTTACTTTTTGGCTTTCCATTTTATTGAATGCAATGTATGTAGGTTAGAGATGAAATAGAACAGCTTATGGATGATGATGGTGATATGGCTGAAATGTATCTAACTGAAAAGAAAAGACGAATGGAGTTGGCATCTAATGGAGATCAGTGTTTGTCTGGTAATAAATCAACTGATGGTGTATCCATGTCTGCTCCAGTTTCTCCTGTTTCATCTCCTCCTTCCTATGCTAGGAAGCTTGAAAAGAACTTGAGTATTGCTAGGAGTCGACATGATAGCGTGAAGAGTTCTGAAAGTTCTACAGAAAATATAGAAGAGTTTGAAATGTTGCTAGAAGCATACTTTGTAGTAATTGATAGCACCCTAAACAAGTTGACATCGGTAAATATGTTATTATTTACTACACTTGTTTCTGTCTCGCTCTGCATCAGTTTATTAATCGTTGTTTCTTGTTTCAGTTGAAAGAATACATTGATGATACAGAAGATTTCATTAACATTCAACTGGTGTGTCTTCTTTTGCTCCCTTCTCCACCATATTTATAGTCACCAAAAGGTCCTTGTTGATTTCATTATTTTCATTTATGCTATTCTTGTCAAGCATCTACACAAAAAATACAAAATGGGGGATTTCGATTTAATTGCTTAGAAGTTTGAACTGAAATGGTAATATAAAAGGTGTATGAGGCATAATATATAGGTACATGGCTTGAGTTCTCTGAGGGATTTAGGTAAGCTAAAGAACAAAATGGTTATACACCATGTTTGCACTTGTAATGTATTTGATGATTTTGTAGTTTAGTGAACTTAATCAAATTTGGAAGCAGCTGATTGAAGATTTATTTACAGGATAATGTACGTAATCAGCTCATCCAGTTTGAGCTTTTACTCACGACTGCAACATTTGTTGTTGCCATCTTTGGCGTTGTGGCAGGAATATTTGGGATGAATTTTGAAATTCCATTATTTAAGGTCCCCTCAGCATTCCAGTGGGTCCTTGTAATTACAGGAGTTTGTGGACTCTTAATATTTTGTGCGTTTGTGTGGTTCTTCAAATACAGAAAACTCATGCCCCTGTAGAAGCAATACCTCCATCAAGAAGACAATTGCACCTTTGCTGTTGATATTGATAATTTGCATTTGGTATGCAATGATAAATTTCAGAAGAAAAGTTAGCTCATATCTAGATCAATTCTTTCAGTTCAATTTTGTACCAATTGTAAACGCTTTATTTTGTTACAATGATTTAGCAATTTCCTTTTTACTAAAACAAAACAGTGAAGTTGACAAAATAACTTCCTGTTTCCTATGTTATTCTTTCAGGCTGAACAATGTATTTTCAGTTTTATTTTGTGTGCGCGCGCACGTTACTCGATTGCTCATACGATGCAAAACATGTAGTGGTTGCTGTTGCTCACAGTTTTCGTAATATTCTTCCTACTTTCAAACTTGGCAGGTGCCAAATTTTCACATTGCAGCATTGCTGTTGGTTGCTCCTTTGCTTCAATTCTCTTTCTTTTGGGCTCATTATCATAAATATTCAGATGTCAGTTCGTATGAGCAACCAAAACGTAGGTGAGGCTAATAGGAAGAGTGAAAAAGTTGTAGATAAATTCCTTATTTTCACTCAAACCATCATATTTTTTTTTGTTCATATTCAAAGCAAGACAGTACTCTGTCGTAATAAAGTTGTTAAGTAGAGCAGTAAGGAAACTTCAGAGCAATTTTTTTTGGTGTCTTTCTTTTGGGCAGGGTGGGTGTGAAGGGACTCAAGGGAGGGACGTGTGTGCATATTTTGTGACCAAAACTGCAAATCCAGCCTCTTTCAAGTTCCACCACTGAAGTATAGCCTCTCTAACCCTTACCATTTGAAACTTGATATGTTCTACAAACAACATATCATCTAATCCAATTTATAAATAATCAATAAAGCTTTGTATCAGCTGTCAACTGCCTAACAGAATATTCAGAGGCAGAGTACATTCTTCCTACATTGAACAAAAATTATCACAATTGCATATGCTCACGTGAGAGACACGTACACACAATAAGAACATCTTTATCAAGTTATAGAACATCCAACAGCCAAATCATATATAACCAATTTTATTATATGGGGAAAATTTCTTATATCAAGTTATAGAACATCTTTAGTTTTAATTAAGAGAGCAAATTAGCAGCACAGTACAATGGAAAGATGGACATTCATCCCACAGGAAAAACTAAAGAAAAGAAGAACATCCAACAAACATTTCTAATGCCTTTTAATTTAGTGTAACTGGAAAACTATGCTCTTTCACAGAATGCTGTTGAAGATCATTTGGCAGGAGCAGACGATAGTCTTTCGCTCCTTGCTTTATCAGCTTTTTCCAGGTAATCTTGATGAGACTGATGTTTGGAACCTGCAAGTAAACAGAAGCTCAACAGATTAAGTGATTAAATAGAGGAACTTAAGTGGAGATATATAAGAAATATCTAAATCTAAAACCATTTTGAATGGTCTACACGTGAAAAAAAATAAAAATCCAAAAGAAAACATCATTGAAGTGATTATTTAATAAGTCCAACTTTGTTTCTAGATTTCAAACAATAACACCACACAATAAAACAGTATGAGTGAAATCCATTTTCGCCAGCACAGTTTAATGGTCATGCCATAGAATGTGGAAAATTGGTATAAATCTTAGAACTTTTTATTGTCTTTGATCAGGGTATTCGCACAAGTATTGATGCGAAACAAACCCCTTAGGCACTGTTGAATTTATGAGGTCCTTCTAATAATTTCCTTCCCAAGATTTGAACTTTTGTTCTGCCCTTGATAGTGCTGCTGCGGTATGCTTACCACCATATTCAACACTTGTTGAATAGACAAGTTTTTATTGCATTAAGAAAGGGAGGGGTGTGTTTGTGTGTGCATGTGCACACACGAGAGAGTGAGAAAGAGAGAGAGGAGCTAATGTGGTAGGAACCTAGAAATGGATTCTGAGTTTTCAGATGGAGAGATGAGAAAAACAAAGAAAGGAAAAGAGAAAGAATACTTCTGTAGTGTTTATTGAATTAAAAATGAAGAACAAAGAAGATAATTCTCCTTCCAACAGTTTATCTTTAACAAAGGGTTTACCCTTTCTATAGCAAAGCTAATGCATAATTACAAAAATGAAAACCAATCAAAAAGCCCCCTCTTCTACCCTCTGCTCCTATTTAAGCTAACTCCCTATCTCTGCAACCTTAACCGCTATTCTAACTAACTACTCTCTAACCCTATCACAACTAACTAACTAACTAACTACTCTATGACCCTACTCTCTAACATGAAACACAAATTTTTCACTTAGGCCGCTTAGCCACCGCTTTATCCTATCTTCTTTTTCTTCACAGCAGGTCTTAGACTTCCTTTCTAGCCCAGATATATATAGAGAGAAAAGTAGAGCAATCCATTAAACCTCAACTTGAAAAATGGTGAAGGTATCCAGGTACCTAAGAGCCAAAATGGCATTGCCAGGACTTCATTCACTCATGAATCATGGAGAGGGTGCTAATAATATGCCTCTTGCATCATTCTACGATGTTCCACTTTATTTCATAAATTTAGTGCAAAAGCCCATTCATGGACAAAGTTTAATTAATTTCAGCAAATTTAAAGTCTAATTAAAGTTGGAAATCTAGACTTGGAACATGCATATGAATATATGCAACCCCTTTTGTAATAATAATGCAAATAAGAAAGAGATCTGCAACACTCAACACACATCCTCCCAAAGTAACTAGCTTAGATGTGAGTACCAATCAGCATAATGAGACTTTGATACTTTATCCAACAACCTCACAAACCCGGAGCAATTATCGTTAATTTTTAAGGGAAAAAAGGGGAAATTTTTGCACATTGCAAATGCTCTCTTAGATGGTATTAACTATGTGTATAAGTCTAAATCCTGAGAAAACCAATAGAAATCAATTTCGCTTTACACCAATCAGGTAAATAAAATAAAATAAAATAAAAAAATATAAAAAGATGTTTCCAAAGAATCGAGCTTTACAAATAACAGTGGTGATAAACATGAGTCAAAGAAGCAACCCATTAATGATGTAAGGGAAAAGTTCGAAACTTTGTTAGTAATCTGAAATTGAAATCGAAGGAAAATTCATAAAAGTTGGTACCTCTACTCATAAGGAACCAAGGGATGGAAAAGACAGCAGAGATGAGAGCTAAGCCAAGAAAAACATGCTTCTTGTCACCGCTATGGAGGTAGTGATCCAACCTTGACCTGAATCCACCTCCAACGTTGCCACCGCTGTTGCCTTTTTTTGTGTCGCTGCTCATTTTCCCTTCACACCTTTTCCTCACTTTTTCACTCTTTCCTTCTTTCTCTTTCTCCCCCTTTTTACTTTTATTTTTTTAGGTTGCAGCTAAGATCATAATAAAAGGAATATTTGCCAGAAACAAATATAAATAAATAAAATGAGATTGCAGAGTGGAATAATTTTTTTTAAAGTAAATATAATTTCATAATTATTATCCCTTATTTACAACACAAAGAAAAAAGAAAAATAAGGAAAATTGAAGGGTACGGAAGAAGATTAATTTCAAAATAATTTTTTTTCCAAAGAATGACACTGTTTAACTTTATCATCTCACTTCTTTTTCTTTCCCCTTATTTTTATCTTTTACCGTATTCAAATAATTTATGTGAAATGTAAATATGGAATGTTCAATCCCTAGTTTAAAAATTACCACGTGGTTTATGTTAAAATCAATTATTCCCCTATTTTTTTTATCTCTTAGTTTCCATGTGATTTTTTATTTATTTATTAAATTCCATATCTAACATCGTCGTTGAAATTTCAGTAAATATGTTTATTTTTTCCTGTGAACAATAAAAAACAAAGAGTAAGTGATTAAAATTAGATACATACGATCAATGTTATTAAAATTGAAATCTTAAGTAGAATCGGGAGGGGATTAAAAAATCATAAAACGTAATTTAAAAAAATCGTAAAAAATTGTAAAAATTTAAAAACGTTTGGTATATTAGTAAAATCATTTTGATGAAAAAAAAAATCATAAAAACGTAAAATAGTATTGATAAATTGAGATTTTAACAACAATGCATACGAGAATATGTGATTAAAAAAATGGGATAAGGATCAAATGGTGGTAGCTCAGTTGACGCATGAGAGCTAAACATGTAGGGGTGAGAACATGGGTTCGAATCTCTCCGGTACCACATTTGGTAGGAGTTTAAAACAAAGTTATTAAAATCGGACCTACCCGGCCGGGTCGACCCGAGAATCGGTAAACCGGTCATATAACCGGTCCGGTTGAAGCAATGGACCGGCCATGCATAAGAACTTGTGCGACCCGGTCCGACCTGACCAGTTTTCATAAAAACCGGTGATCTGGCCCGGTCCAAAAAAAAAAATCCAAATTTTTTTCTCAACAAAAATCATAATGGACATATTTGAATATTTTTTTGCTTATTGACTTACATAAGTTATGTGCCTACGACATTAATATTATCTCAATTATGTACTATGCAGAAAATTTTGAATTAATTTATAGTTAGACATGTCGTTTTCTGAACCTAAAGTCCCGTATCACGATCATTATATTTTTATTTGATCTTTTATTGGATAATAATATGTGATTTATTATTTTTTATATTAAAATATTTAAAATATTTATCATTTTTTTAGATATTTGAGTACGTTTATAATTTTTTAATATAAATTATAAAATTACATATAATTACCGGGTCATGCGATTGAACCAGTGATCCACTGGTTGAACCAGTGACCCAGTACCTCGACCGGATCAATGACCATGCTGGTTTTAATAACATTGGTTTAAAGTCATAATCCTGGACCCGCCCCGAATCGAATTAGTTGCGAAGCAATGAACTGATTGAAATATTTTCAAAAATAAATAAATGGAATAAGTGATTAAAAAAAGGGGTTTGATTTTTATTTTTTTATGTTAAATGAGAATTCAATTCTCATGTTGTAGAGATAAAAAGTATGCGGGACCCATGTGTTAGAAAAAATTATATGTAGGACCCATATCAGCACGGAAATCGAAGGGTGTGTAGAAAAATTTGAATTCTCATGTTGAGAATTATAAAACCCTTAAAAAAATACAAGAGATAAATGATTCTAGCAAAAATCACAAAGGGTATTTTAGAAAGGGAAATAGATATATCATGTTGTAGGAAATTGGTTGTGTCATGCTATAGACACAACCAATGTAGACCCCACCACTTTCTTTTATTTTATTTTTATTTTAAAAGTGGTGGGGTCCACATAAATTGTGTCTATAACATGACACAACCAATTTCCTACAACATGATACATCCATTTCCCTTTTAGAAATAATATAAAAGTAAAGTAAAACGACACAATTGTTAGAAATATTGTGTTATTTTAAGTTACCTAAACATTTTTTTTTTTGGTAATATTCCAATCGGTTAATCGCTAAGCATTTGTTAAACATAATAAATGAGGATTCAAAGATCAAAGATATCCATGAAAATAAAAAGTAAAATAAAATAAAAATAGACTCATTCCAATATGGAACATGAAGTTTTTAATTAATCACCAATCTACATAACAAAAATTGTATTGCATATAAATTAAAGTTTGACAAAGAAACATTAATCCTAAATACAATTAAGAAAACTTTTGTTTATATATATATATATATATATTAATGAAAATATAGAAAAAAATATTCAAACAATGGGGAAGAATATTTTTGGTTATACAGGAAAAAAAATTCGAATTATTTTTTTTAATGAAAAGACACTTTTAATTTGTTGATTAGTGAAAAAAATAAAAAGATAAAGGTTATGTCAATCTCAAGTCTAATGGATTAGCAATTTAGCATGGATATTTTTTAAAATTGTGATTGATTTGATAGCTGAAATCTATTCTAAAAATATAATATGGCAGTAGATTATAATTTTTCTAATATTAAGGTAGTATTATTCAAAATGTTTCTATACCGAGTTAAAAAAAAGAAAAAAGTTCAAAAATCTTCCTGTTTTTTTTTTTTGGTAAACATTTCTGTTTTTTATTTTTATTTTTCACGGAAGCAAAATATATATATTTATTAAAATTTTAACAATGTTACAAATAAACTTGGCGGGAAAAAAAAGGTGAGATAAGTGATAAAAAATATAAAGAAATAATTGATTAGGGAATTTTTTGAATTTTTTTAACTCCATCTATAATAAATTATAATTTTTTAATAAATAATTATAAAATATAATTTTATATTAAATAACTGAAAATAATAATATATTATGTTAATCTATTTTTATCTAACGAAATAATTTTTTTTTGCAAAATCTAATGAAATAATTTACTGATGTGAACTACAGTTCCTACTCAAGATAGTTAAAATCTTAATTTATCACTATGATTTTATGTTTTTATGTTTTTTTTCATCAAAATGATTTTACCAATATTTCAAATGATTTTACGTTTTTATGATTTTTTTATGTTATGATTTTACATTTTACGATTTTTTATCTCTTTTTTGATTTTATGTAAAATCTTGATTTCAACTAACTTTTTCGTACCCATTCTTTTGCTAAAAAAGGGGAAAGCTTTTTCATCAAAATGATAAACAAAGCAATGACGAGGGGGGAAAAATAATAAATAAAAATTACAGTTTAAAAACATGGCGTCGTTTGAGGCGTATCCTTTCACCGATTTTTAAAATAATGGTTGAAAAACATTTCCTAGAGTCTAATTTACAAAGACAGAGTTATAAACATTAAAAATTGTGTGGTGGCTTGGAGTCACAGGAGTGGGACAGCAGTTCGCAAAGGCATGAAAACAAAAATTAAAGAATGTTTACGTAGGATTGAAAGAAAAATAAACCATGGACTCTATTCTTTTTTGAAAATATCTGGACTCTATTCTAAATTACAGACTTTTTATATAATTTATTTTAAGGTGCATTAGTATATATAATTTTCAGAAAGTGGACCGTAAATGCAATCTGTATGATGGGGTCAGTCACACTATAATGCATCAAAGGCCATAATGTTGATGTCACCCACTTATTACAAAGTGGGTGACAAAAGAATGATGGCGGATCACTATCAGGTATGAATTTGCTGCTGTAAAACTATTTATGACTTAACTTTTTCTTTAATCTTATTTATTAAAGTGTGTATCATATGTAAAGTTGTGTTATTTTAAGAAAGAAAAAGAGAAAGATAAACGAAGAAAGAGAGAGTTGACAAAAACAATTAAGGTGTGGGTCCCACCTCTTTATGAGAGTGAAAAGATATAAGTTGTGTCATTTAAAAGAATAAACACTTTTTCCTTATTACAATCTAAGGAGACTTGTGTAGGCAAAATTCTTATAATCATAAACATAGAAGCGATGTTATTGTTATACAAAAAAAAGAAGCGATGTTATTCTTACATAGACATAGATGCAAGTTGGTTATATGGTCATTAAGGATGACAATTTTCAACATGATCTATTGACACATAACACGAACATAATATGAAAATTTTGTGTTCAGTCTCACCAATTTTCAAGTTTATGTCGTGTTCGGGTTGACAAAACCTGACCCGAAAAATTTCGTATCGTGTTGCGTGTCAACCTGATAACCCGAAATTGACTTGAACTAATCTTCTTTCAAGTTATTTGTGTCGTATTATGTTGTAAATAAGTTATTCATGTCTTATCGTGTCAACCAACATAATAAAGTTATTTGTATCGTGTCGTGTCAATCTACAAAATAAACAGGTTGTGTTAGTGTCAAAGGTTTTGACCTGATTTCAAATTCCTGTCGTGTTCATATTGAGTGTATTTGTGTTTGTGTAAAATTCGCGTCGTGTCATATCATATTGTGTCGATCCAAATTGCCAGCATAATAGTCATCCTTTGACCAAATATGCTTTTTCAGTAAGTGCTGTTATAGCACATATGCTGCCAATAGCATTACTGATATAAGGAAGTTACAATATATTCAAGGCACTAATAACGTTTAGAAGTCTCTATCTGAACCGAACCCGGACCTTTTTTTAAGTTTGCCCGTTATTCCCGAAATTCCTAGATTTGATGGAATATGGGTTGATATGGTGATGTTTTCTTTAAGATCTGAGATATGGACAAAGATGATTATATATCATGGAAAATTATGGGGGAAAACTGTCAATGACATTATGGCAGATACTTTACTAATGGGAAAGAAGTTAATGATGCTGTATTAATAGTGACTCACTTTTACTTTGTGATTATGACTAGTGTGGTCCATAACTCCATGGCCACTCAGCTAAAGACATGCCTGATGTGACTGTACAATCAATCATATTAACCCAATTTCAAATCGTTTAGGTGTTTGTATTGCGTGTTTGCCAAAAACTTAGTTGTTGGGTCTAGGAATATCAGACCAACCAGAGCCCGGTGCACCAAAAAATAAGTTCTTGTTGCTTATTGGTGTCAAATGGCATGAGTTGTGGTTACATTAATTGTTTTGTCCTCTTATAAGGTGAAGCGTTCCACTGCCAGTTTCATAAAGCCAAATCACAATATTCTTATGAAGTGTAAAAATCACAAGAAAAGTAAATGTTTTTTTTAAGGAGCACAAAAATAAAAAAAAGACCAGTCTCAGAGAAACTTGAGTGTGTGTAAGCATGCGTTTCTGTCAATAAGTGAAGGCAAGCCTACCAAACAACTTAACCTCTTAAAACCGCAACTAGCACGTAGCCTATTGACCTCATCCATTACAATTAAAACTAGCCATGGAATTTGAGCACAAAATCAAGTTTATGCAACTTTAAGTGGAGAAAAGCACAAATAACATGCAACATAAATTCACCATACAAGTGTATTCAGATCCCAAATACAAACCGATTTCAATGATATGTCCTATACTGCACTAAGCATATTCAGATGGTTAACATGAGAAGATGTCTTTCAAAGAGACCTTCATCATTAGAAAGCCTATTCTGCATTGCCCTTCTGTTTTCTCCTTGTTCTTCTGTATAATTTGGAAGGTGGAGAAGGGGAGAGCTCAAATGGAAGTGGTGGAAGGTCCATCTCCCCCTTTAAAATCTTAACAATATCCCCAATATCAGGCCGCAATTCTGAAATTTTCTGTAAGCAAGTGAGTGCCAAGTTAATACACAAGCTTGCTTGGTCCTTGTTGTAATCTTCTTTCAATCTCTCATCAACTAGTTCTAAAATATCACCAACTCTAGCCAATTGCCTACACCAGCTTATTAAGTTAGCTTTCTCTAGCTTCATGGGGGATGCAAGAACATGTAATGGTCTTCTACCTGACACAATTACAAGAATCAGAACTCCTAAACTGTAGATGTCAGCTTTCTCCATTAAGAACCCACATCCACCGTACTCTGGTGCAATATAACATAGTGTTCCTCTCATGCTAGTTGTGCTGCTTAGCTCACGGCTGAAAAGATCTCCACTCCACATGTCACTTCCAATGGAACGAGTACTTTTCTTTTTCCAACCTCTTCTGAAACTAAACTCCCCAACATCACACTCATTCTGTCTCTCCCCGGCGAAGTTGTTGCGCCTGCAAAGATAAAATCGTCTACCCAAATCAAAATGTGGTACTTTCAAGCCTTTCTTCCATTTAGTATGAAGTTTTCTAAGCTTGTTGCTCTTCTTGCTTAATTCATTATGGTGCTCTTCTTTCCAACACTCTTGCATGTTCCTTTGCTTCTTCTTACTATTTTTCTTTCCTCTTGATTCTTTCTTCTCAATTCCATCATTAGTATTTCCTATCCTGAATACTTGTATTCGGGGTCCATTTGCATCATTGGGTTTATCTATTGGACTAGAATTTTCCAACTCTATTTTCTCATGAATATTGTTCTTCCCATCATCCCAATCAGGGTTTGATGGACTAATCTGACTCCCTATCCACTCCATGACGTAGTCTTTGCTGCATAATTCACCATTTCCATCTTGTTTCCACCACCAGTCTTTTCCCCATTGTTTCCCATTTGTCTTCTCATCATCCACCAATGAAGAGTTAACAGTTAGCTCCTTACTATGATCAATGCTAGAAAAATCATCATCGTAAGGAACAAACTTATTGTTCCAATCATCCCCACCAATATCCGAAGTTGAAATTTCTTTGCCCTTTGCATTAACACTCCTGATTTCACTCTCATTGGCTATATTGGCATTATAATTCAAAGAATTCAAGTTCAAAGCTCCAACATTGAAACACGTCCTGCTATTTTTGGATGAAGAAGAGGCTTGCAAAGCTAGAGCAAAATCTACTTCACTAACACTCTCAACTGGAGTACCAATAGCTGGAGTTTCAGAATATTGATTAGCTGAAAGCTCTTGGCTTTTCCATAATTCCTGGCTCTTCCCCAAGTCCTGGCTAAACAAATCTATACCAAATTCACCCTCTACTTTAATCCTTGACAACCCAAAGTCTGAGATCCTCCCATTGTACTCAGCATCAAGTAGAACATTGCTTGGCTTAATATCCCCATGGATCACTGGGGGATCACATCCATGGTGCAAGAATTCCAACCCTCTAGCAACATCCAATATTATGCAAAATCTCCTCTCCCAACTCAAACACAAGCATCCATCTCCAAAGAGGGACTCCTGCAAGCTTCTGTTAGGCATATATTCATACACCAAAACTCTTTTGTTCTTTTCAACACAATAGCCCAAAAGGGTCACCAAGAAGGGTGATCTTAACCCACCAAGAATCTGCAACTCATTCTGAAACTCTCGCTCTGTCTGCAAAGACAAAGCGTCCATGCGCTTCACTGCAACCAGCTTCCCGTCTTTAAGTATTCCCCTGAAAACAGTGCCAGAGCCACCTCTACCAATGACATTGGCTGTGTCAAAGCCATTGGTGGCATGCTTAAGCTCTTTGTATGAGAATCTTTTGAGCTTCAAGGGAGCACTTGCTTCAAAAGGGGTAGTTTTAGCTCTGTGTACAAGGGAGTGCCATAGATAGTATAGAAAGTAAAGGACTGAGCAGAAAATCACCACACATGCAGAGATGATGAGTGCCAGGAAGAGGATCCTGGTTTTGTTGAGAAAACTGGGACTTGGAGGGATAGGTCTTGATGGCATGGTGAATGGTGATGGATTCTATGTCTTAAGGTCTCAACTCTCAATGGTTTCTGGATAAAGGAAAAGGTGAATGATGAAGAATTGGGAGATGGGCATTCTCGTTTTTCATTTCTTTCTATTTGTTTTGCCAATGGGTATCCAAAGCTGACTGCTTTACCTTCACATGATCATCAATGGAGCTGTAGTGCATTCTATTATACTAGTACTATTGTTAAGTTTAGTTTAGTTTAGTTTTTTTTTTTTTTTTCGTATTCCTTGACTTATGGTTCCTATCTATTATTCCAGCATAGTTCTATATCCTTATTTATTTTATCATGAGATTAGTGATTGAAAAATGAAGATTAGAAAAAGGGAGGGAAGTGGAAGGAGGGGACCTACGGTGCTTTTGACTAAAGATGAAGTTTTTTTTTGTATAAACACAACGAGTGAGGCAATTATGTTCGGGACCAGGTATAGGATTAAAGTTTTAAACTTTTCTCAAATATGGTATTGGAGAAGATCGAATACATATGCTTTTACTGAGTCCAGATTAAAGCTTTAAACTCTTCTCAAAGATGATATTAGAAAAGATCGAACACATACTCTGATTCTCACTGCTTAAATCCCATATGCCGTCTGAAGTTCCATCATTTAGTTAAAGATAAAGTTTTGAGTGTTACATTACTTACACGCGGAAAAATGGGGAGAAAAAGGAAAAGGAAAAGAAAAGGAAAACTCAAATGGATTACAAGAACAGAATGAGAAGTAGTGCATGGTAATGGGTACACATACTGGTGTTTAGAATTTAGTGATAATGCAGAATGCTTTTCAATTATTTATCTGTACAAAAGGTTCATACTTCGTTCTTCAGAGGATCGATCGCGTCACATTGTCGAATATCAGTGAGTTTTATCCTCATAATGCAGTTCGGTCCCATGTTTGCTCTAAAATGCTACAAAATATAAAATTATAACTCAAGAGAAGAGACTGTTATTATTTGCTTAGAGTGTAATTTTGATTTGGTAAATTTTTTTCATACTATCATTTTAAATATTGCAATAACACATTATCTAATAATTTTGAATATATTAACAATTATATAAGATGTCAAACACGTTAAATGCTGTAATAAAAAGGTAAAAAAAAAAACTCACGTGGACGTTTTGGAAAATGGATTAAAAAAATATTATAATTCATTTTCATATGTTAAATTACATTTTTCACAATAAAAATATATATAATATGGATAAAGTGTGTGTCATTTTAAAGGATGTAAAGTTGTGTCATTTTAAGAGAGAGAAAGAGATAGATAAAGAAGGAGAGAGAGTTGACAAAAAAAATAAAGGTGTGGGTCCCACCTCTTTGTGAGAGTGAAAGGATATAAGTTGTGTTATTTAAAAGGATAAACATTTTTCCCATATAATATTCATTTTTATATTTTATTGCCCCTTTTTTTTTTCGTCCCTAATACCTGTTTTTTTAGTAGTGTTTAGTTTTGACTAATTAAGTGAAAATAAGATAAAAAGGTGGTAAGAAATTAACAAAATCAGTTATGACAAAGAACAACCATCTTTATTATTATCTCTAAAGCATATACCAGATTCTCAAACAAGTGCTAAGATCATCGAATCAACAATGACCCAAGTTTGAACCTCTAAAATTGCGGTTCAAATTCCTGCTTTGATTCGAACAAAGCGTAGAACGATTAAGAGCTAAGGAGTCTGATTGATTTTTTTGATTTTTTTTTTCTTAAAATTATTTTGTAGAATAGTTAATTAAATAAGTGTTTTTTAAATTTTTTGTTTTGAAACTTAAAAGTCAAAACAGAAAACAAAAACAATTCAAATATGTTCTCGGGAAAAGCATCTAAAAGGATATAAGCATCTATGTTCTCTAACTTTGATTCTAAAAACAAAAAAAATACAGTTACAGTTTTAGTTATTTTTTTTTTACAAAATAAGGCCTTATCAAACATATTTTTTTATTTTGAAAGTCAAAAAGCTAATTTTCTAAATAGATTTCAAACTGGCCGTAAGTTTCGATAGAAACCCTAGATCCCAAAAAATTAGGGTTTAGATATTTCGCGAGAGAGAAAAAATACAAGGTGATTGAAAACACAAAACAGAGAGATATACAAGAGTGAAAAACACACTTTTTCATTTTGTATCAATAGGACAAGTTAGAAAACGCGAATCAATATACACCCACACAAAAGGGGACCAAAACGACAGTATTTTGACATACCCAAGTAACATTTGATACAATTTTAATTGAAGTTTATTTATATATTTTGGAAAAAAAATTGTATACCGTTAGTCGTAAGACTTTTCTTATTTTTCTACCACGGAGCTCTTAATTACTATTTACTAGGAAAGCCTGAACGATAATATAAAGCTTTTTCTTAGCAATTATCATAAATATCACATTTTTTCATGAAAAAATAATAATTATCATAAACCTGTAATTTTTTTTTTGGACTGGGGAGTTTGTCTATTTTGATCAATTTTTTCATTTTGTTTTCTTGTTTTACAGCAAGCGGTTTGTCTTTAAATCTAAAATATTTTAAATCATTTATTTATATTTTTAATATTTATTTTAAATCATATCTTCATGAATTGTGTATATTTATTTATAACTTATTTTTAAAAAAAATAATATTTAAATTGAAAAACACCTATTGATTGCATGAAATATACACTCACTTTATAAAAGTATTTTTGTTACTAATGTTGGAAGGAAGAAACAACTTAGAAAGAATTAAATGGAAGAGACTTCTTTTGTTTCTGCTCAATTTTTTTTTTTTTTTGGAGTTATAGGAAATCGAACACACCAACACACACCCACACCCCTAGGCTAACCCTAGTGATTTATATTTTTTCACCTTATCACACCCAAAAAACTTCAAAAAAAAATCTGTAACTTTCCTCATAATCCTTTATTCCCTCTCCAAAATTTTGAATTATTTACCTTTTTATTTAAAGTTTTTTTATCATTTACCCATCTAAGTGAGGGGGGTAAGTGATAAAGAAACTTTAAGTCATGGAGTAAGTGATAAAAAAAATTTAAATAAGGATGTAGATAATTCAAAAATTTTGTAAGTGGATAAGTGATAATTAAAAAAACTCAGAAGGGTTTGTTTTTGAAGTTTTCCTTTTTTTCTTTCTTTGACTTAATACAAAATGGTTGAGAACACTCATATTTATGCCAACACATTTCTCGTTCAATTGTTATAAGTAGTTCTCTGGAGTTTTTTATAATCTCCTAGTCTATACATTAATTATAATAGGTGCAACTAATTTCTAGATTTTTTTATGAATTACTCAGGAGTAGATTATTCTAGAAATTGGATTAAAAAACTCTAAATATATTTGAACCAATAATACAAAGTCCAATAGATCAAAATCAAAATCATTATTCAACAACTAGGTATAAAATAAAAGAATTAAAAGATATATTGAGAATAGAAAAGGAAAAATAGGAAAATTAAGTGTGTGAAACAATAGAAACTATCATACCAATATTCTTTCAAAATTACGTATTTATTTTGAACAATCTGAAATTCGAAATTTTAAATTCAATAAAAAGAAAATTCTTTTCACGGACATGCATTCACGATCTCTATTCATGGAGATCAATAGAAACAAAAACAAATTTCACAATTGTTGAAGACCTGATCGTCATTCAATTCACAATTTCGTTATGGTTATTTTTGAAAAAATATATATACAATAATGTTATAACAAAGACATTATCTTTGTTACATATTTGATTCAAATATCATAACAATCAAGAATCAAGAGAGCTGACAGGCAAAATAAATTAAATCCCAAAACCAAAACTATCATATCAGATAAACTATCATACCAATATTCTTTTAAAAATTGAATTTTCGAAATTTTTAAATGGTTTATCAATTAAATTTCAAAATTATGTATTTATTTTGCACAATCTGAAATTCGAAATTTTAAATTCAATAAAAAGAAAACTGTTTTCACGGACATGCATTCACGATCTCTATTCATGGAGATCAATAGAAACAAAAACAAATTTCACAATTGTTGAACACCTGATCGTCATTCAATTCACAATTTCGTTATGGTTCTTTTTAAAAAAAAATATATACAAATATACAATAATGATATAACAAAGACATTATCTTTGTTATATATTTGATTCAAATATCATAACAATCAAGAATCAAGAAAGCTAACAGACAAAATAAATTAAATCCCAGAACCAAAACTATCATATCAGATAAACTATCATACTAATATTCTTTTAAAAATTGAATTTTCGAAATTTTAAATGGTTTATCAATTAAATTTCGAAATTATGTATTTATTTTGCACAATCTGAAATTTGAAATTTTAAATTCAATAAAAAGAAAACTCTATCAGATAAACTATCATACCAATATTCTTTTAAAAATTGAATTTTCGAAATTTTTAAATGGTTTATCAATTAAATTTCAAAATCATATAGAATTAGGGTAATAAGAAATTGAGCCTTAATTAACTTAGAAAGAATTTATTGATATTATATTAAGAGCAGATTCTTGACGATTTAATTCATAGCATAAAGAGGAAATTGAGGAAAATTGAAACCTTAACTACGCTCTTTTTTGATTTTCAAAACTTTCATCTTTTTACTTTCTTGCTTTTAATTCTGAAATTGAATGCTATTGCTTGTTTTTAATCTCAATTCTTTTCATCTCAAATTCGATTGTCCAACTAAATCGTTGTTAGCGAACTAGTGCTTGAAAACCAATCCTCGTGGGAACGATCTCGTACTCAGTACACTTTTATTACTTTTACGACCGGTGCACTTGCCGAAGTCGCAACAAAGAATAATGATCAAGAAGAAGTGTCCAATCAATGGAACAATGATTCCTATTTATAGAGGGCCCCCATGAGTGTTGAAGCATCGCATGGCAGGAGGCCAGAAGTGGGTTATTATTTCAAAACTCTTTAAATGTTGCATGCTTCGGCTCAAACACTTTTAAATCATGACCAGACTAAGTAGCGTAAGTGATCCGAAACAAAAAAAATGTCTTGTATAGAATAGAAAACAGATAACCAAACAAAAAATTCATGTGATAAAAATAATAGTACTCAATTCATTGCATTACACATATGTAACTGCCATTAGTGAATTACCAAAGACTTGGTACAAACCAAAAAGGAAAAGGGACACAAGGACTTGATTTCTCCGTAGTAAAATATCTGACGCGGTTATCATCCAAGCAAATACTCCCCAATTGAACGCCTGCCCATGGGTTTGGAGCACAATAAAAACGAAAAGCAAAAAAGATAATATTTCTTGTAATTAACTTTTCAGTGCTATTAAGTGCTGCCCTTGACATTACCATGCTCTTGATATAGCCAACAAACAGCACGCGGTCCCCCAAGTTATCAACCTTGATCCACTGATTAGTTTCATTACTTGTCTTCAACTTGAATACTTCAACTCTGGTCATCTCAGGCGGGGTAAGATATTCGGTGACAGTGCTCAAATAGCCAGCATGTTGTGCTTCGTAAGCACAGTTACAGAACATGTAAATGAGGAATAAATCTCCTAATGCATCATCTTTGACTAGGCAGGGGAAAACTTTACCCATGTCAAAACGTTGGTTACCAATTACAGTTGATACTACTCGTGGCGTTGGTGGAAGCATAGCTAATACTTTAGGCTTTGGGGGGTTGTCACTCGAATCTTGCAAATCATAAATCAATATGGACTTGAAAGTTAGAGCATACAATTTCGTATCAATAATTTCCACATCCATAAAATGAACCCCTGTATCCCTATCTGCTTCAATTGTAGTCCATGACTTGTCAGAAAGTCTACAAAATGTAATGTGACAATAATCATTGAAGAGACAAACCAAAAAACAATCCAAGCAATCGGGTTTGGAGGAGGCTACCATTTTTTTCATCAACAACTTATCAGCTTGAAGGGGAGAGTTGGATGGGAAATTTAACACTGATGGGACAAAGACTCTAGCATTAGTTACTGGATTGAAGAAGAAAATGGTAACACTACGACTACCCACATTAGAATATTCCCTCACAATCATCCATCCTTCAACTGAGCCTCGAATTCTCTGTATTTTCTCAAGTAGTGGTCTTTTGGAATAAAGTAGACTTTCTGTCCTCAAGCTTAAAACTCTGGATGATTCCTTATATTTGAGGACAAGCACTGGCAGTTGAGGCAATGGGTGGCAATGCTTGTTTGCAATGGCATTAGCAACGGTATCCCTCCAAGGGGTGCATATTTCACGCAATCCAAGGCAATCTTTGAGGCACAATCGCTTCATAATCAGTTCCATGATATCATCTGGGAGACTTGTCCACGTGCACTCATGTTTCTTCTCTTCTTTTCCACTCAATGTTTTATTAGCAGTTGTTCTAATCTTTAACAAGCTTACTTTCAGCGTGTTCCATATGCTATCAAAGCAGCGTGGTTGAACGAGGGATGAACATGCACAACTTTTCTCATGATGTGATGGCATCTCTCCAAAGGGAAAAGACATCAAGCTGTGCCAAAAAAATATTGTATTTTTGTCTTAACTTTAGAACTTTGTTACAATCAATAACAACAAAAATAGAGAAAGATTAAATGTAAAACCAAATACTTCCAAGTCCACAATCACTCAAAGCTGTATAGAAAATAAGAAGTTGTAGAATGCAAAGAAAAATTAAAATCAAAATTGACCAAAAAATACAAAAAAGCAAAACTTGCAAAATATTGAGCAAGGAGAGAGCCGTGAAAAACAACCGCAGCGCAGAACACCTTCAGAGTGGAACAAGAAGGCTTCTTCAGATTAGGAGTGAGATTCTTTTTTTTTTTTTTTGATAACAGTGAGATTCTTTTTTAGGTTATTTGAATTTGAACGAAAGCAAACATATGTGATATCTGCGACTCCTACGGTTTGTATTTGTAGTGAAATTAGGAAAATATCTTCCTGTTATATATGTGACTGGATCAATTTCTATGGGTACAAGAATAATATCAAACATAACCCAATCAATTACAGTGGTTTGATATACCAAAATCAATGACTAGAAATTGAAAAAAAAAATTATTATTCTTATAATGGTATAAATTGATTTAGTTCCTGTATTAAATTAGGAAAAAGTATGGAAAATCTATATATATATATATAAAGGAGAGTTCACTGCTGGAAAGTTTTACCAAGTGTCACTCCCTGGTTAATTCTACAATTTGGTTATATACAAACTTTCTTTATTGGGTAAATTGAAAAAAAAAACTCTTTTAAAAATTGAATTTTAATTTTTAAATCAAATAATAGTTGCAGACAAGGCATTGAATGTCTCACTGCCCATCACATTGGTATCCAAAAAAAAATTAGCTGTTTTAATTGCTTTTTATGTTGGAATTGGTCATCTCATATGAAATTCGAAATTTTAAATGGTTTATCAATTAAATTTCGAAATTATGTATTTATTTTGCACAATCTAAAATTCGAAATTTTAAATTCAATAAAAAGAAAATTCTTTTCACGGACATGCATTGACGATCTCTATTCATGGAGATCAATAGAAACAAAAACAAATTTCACAATTGTTGAAGACCTGGTCGTCATTCAATTCACAATTTCGTTATGGTTATTTAAAAAAAAATATATACACAATAATGATATAACAAAGACATTACCTTTGTTATATAATGATTCAAATATCATAACAATCAAAAATCAAGAGAGTTGACAGACAAAATAAATTAGATAATCAGGTGTTTTAATTGCTTTTTATGTTGGAATTGGTCATCTCATCTGAAATTCAAAATTTTAAATGGTTTATCAATTAAATTTCGAAATTATGTATTTATTTTGCACAATCTGAAATTCGAAATTTTAAATTCAATAAAAAGAAAACTCTTTTCACGGACATGCATTCACGATCTCTATTCATGGAGATCAATAGAAACAAAAACAAATTTCACAATTGTTGAAGACCTGATCGTCATTCAATTCACAATTTCGTTATGGTTATTTTTGAAAAAATATATATACAAATATACAATAATGATATAACAAAGACATTATCTTTGTTATATATTTGATTCAAATATCATAACAATCAAGAGAGTTGACAGACAAAATAAATTAAATCCCACAACCAAAACTATCATATCAAATAAACTATCATACCAATATTCTTTTAAAAATTAAATTTTCGAAATTTTAAATGGTTTATCAATTAAATTTCGAAATTATGTATTTATTTTGCACAATCTGAAATTCGAAATTTTAAATTCAATAAAAAGAAAACTCTATCAGATAAACTATCATACCAATATTCTTTTAAAATTTGAATTTTCAAAATTTTTAAATGGTTTATCAATTAAATTTCGAAATTATGTATTTATTTTGCACAATCTGAAATTCGAAATTTTAAATTCAATAAAAAGAAAACTCTTTTTACGTACATGCATTCACGATCTTTATTCATGGAGATCAGTAGAAACAAAAACAAATTTCACAATTGTTGAAGACCTAATCGTCATTCAATTCACAATTTCGTTATGGTTAATTTTTAAATCGAATAATAGTTGCAGACAAGGCATTGAATGTCCCACTGCCCATCACATTGGTATCCAATAAAAAATCAGCTATTTTAATTGCTTTTTATGTTGGAATTGGTCATCTCATCTGAAATTCAAAATTTTAAATGGTTTATCAATTAAATTTCGAAGTTACGTATTTATTTTGCACAATCTGAAATTCGAAATTTTAAATTCAATAAAAAGAAAATTCTTTTCACGGACATGCATTCACGATCTCTATTCATGGAGATCAATAGAAACAAAAACAAATTTCACAATTGTTGAAGACCTGATCGTCATTCAATTCACAATTTCGTTATGGTTATTTTTGAAAAAATATATATACAATAATGATATAACAAAGACATTATCTTTGTTACATATTTATTTCAAATATCATAACAATCAAGAATCAAGAGAGCTGACAGGCAAAATAAATTAAATCCCAAAACCAAAACTATCATATCAGATAAACAATCATACCAATATTCTTTTAAAAATTGAATTTTCGAAATTTTTAAATGGTTTATCAATTAAATTTCGAAATTATGTATTTATTTTGCACAATCTGAAATTCAAAATTTCAAATTCAATAAAAAGAAAACTGTTTTCACGGACATGCATTCACGATCTCTATTCATGGAGATCAATAGAAACAAAAACAAATTTCACAATTATTGAAGACCTGATCGTCATTCAATTCACAATTTCGTTATGGTTATTTTAAAAAAAATATATACACAATAATGATATAACAGACATTATCTTTGTTACATATTTAATTCAAATATCATAACAATCAAGAGAGTTGACAGACAAAATAAATTAAATCCCAAAACCAAAACTATCATATCAGATAAACTATCATACCAATATTCTTTTAAAAATTGAATTTTCGAAATTTTTAAATGGTTTATCAATTAAATTTCGAAATTATGTATCATACCAATATATATTTGATAATTTTTTATTTAGTTTCTTATCTCATGCCCTGTACCCTAAAAATTTATTTAAAATTGATTTCATTTGTCAAATTTGTTGGCATGAGTTGTATATATAGATTATACATGTCCAGCTCAAAATTACACCCAAAAAACAAGCATATAATTTATTTCAAGATTATATAGTCATTTTTATTATAATTTTTTAACTTAGAACTACGTCGTTTTGGGAGTGAACGCAGATAACTTATCTACATATTCATTGTGAAAATATTAAAGTCATATATATATATATATATATATATATATATATATATATATATATATCTAAAAATGTTAAAGAGGACATAATTGTGGAGATAATACAGAGATGTGGATTCAAAAGAACTAAAGACTATGTACCAAAAAAAAACACTAAAGACTTGGAAAGTATAAGGAGATTCTCAAATTTATTTCTACACTCACTAACAAATGGCAAAGTTCATCAATAATCGAATTTAATGAACAGGATCACCATGCATTTTGACAAGCAAGTTTCTATATACTGTAAAATAATTGTGCAGAAACATTAGAGAAAAAAAAAAAGTAGTCTAGAAATTTTTTAATGAGGTGGCAATTCATGAATAAATCCTATATAGATTGTCCTTATCTTTTTACAATTTAGGATTATTTGCACGCAAAATCACTTCTCAAGTTGCTTCAAGGGAAAAATATTTGCAGCAACAATTACAACTAAATCCTAAACCCTGACTTCAAAATATTCTCCCTCAAACCCATAACTTCAAACAATCTTCTATTGTTGGATATATTAATAATATAGTTCAATAGTATCTTCACATACAAGCCCAATATGTGAAATCATAGTTATTTAAATGTATATGGGCTCGAGCCCAATATCTTCCATTATCTCTAGGATTTCCTGAGCTGAAAGTGTCACTGTTGAACATTTCAAAGTTAGTGCCTCTTGGTGTAATACTTCAAGCACCAACCCTGCCTCCAAACTAGGGATGGCAAAAATAAGCCAACCTGTCGGGTTGGCTTGTAACCCATACAAAGTAAGCCGAGTTGGGTTGGCAAAAATGAGTTGACAACCCAAGTCAGCCTGATCCAAGCCAGCTCAAAAAAAAAAACTGAGCCAACTCGCGAGTCAAACTAGTCAGCTCACGGGTTATCCTTTTTCTTATTTATTAAAAAATACAAAAGAATAATAAGAAGGTCAGATCTGTTCAAATAAAATATAAATTTTTTTTTATGTAAGTTTATGTTTAGCAATTTTAATTATCTTATATCATCTTTTTTTTTATCTTACTTCAATTATCATGTTTTTTCATTTTTTTAGGCTATCCCCCCCTTTTTCGAGCCATCCCTAAATCGGTTCGGGTCGGATTAGGTTTTCTGTCTCATTTTTTTTTAGTCAACCCTAACGTTAGGGGTGAAAGTGAGTTGGGATGGGCCGAGCTTTGCCCCGTAAAGCCCAAACTTATGCCAAAAAATTTAATTTGGCCTGGCCCAAGCCTAGTATGAGTCTAATTGTTAGTCTGGATTCGCTCGTTTATAAAAAACAAATGGCATGCCTTGACCCGTTAGCCTGTTAATTTTTAACTTACAAGCCGAAACATAAATCAACTTCACAAAATACTCAAATTTTGTTACTAAAACAAAAATCACAATTTCAACGTTTAAATAGAACCATGAATCACAACAAAATTCATATAGACAATCTCACATGCTGAGATATTGGTTCCTTCTACATAAAAAAATAAAGTCAAATTTCTATTAAAATTTAATCGAATATAATTAAATTATAAAATAATGTCAATTGATTAAATTTATACTTTTTTTTCAAGTCATACCTATTATGTAGCCAATCTCCGCCGTATATTAAAGCTTGGATGTTATTTTCAGCCAAGCTAAAACGATAGGCATTAATAACTCCTCCTCCAGCACTAAATGTTGATTCTGATAGTACTGTAGAGATTGGTACAGATCTTATGCAACTTTC